ACGCGGAAGACTGCATTCTTGTTCCTGCGGATGCAGATGGCGCGGAATCCCGCGAGCCGGTCGTCTTTGAGGACGATGGAACCGGCGGGGACGGCTCGTCTCGCCCCAGCTTAGGGCAACAGGTTCAAGGCGACGCCAAGCAAGTGGAGTTCACGCTGACCAGGCGCGGGAGGGACTTCGTCCTCCGCCTTGGCGACCGCATTGCCTATCGGGGTGTAGGTGGAGGCCCTAAGGTGTGCAGGTTAGGACGGGTTACGCAGGTAGATGCTGCCCGTGCGCAGGTCGGCGTGCACCGCTATCTCCCCGATGCCAGCGGGGTTCGCGTCAAATGGCGGCTTGCATACATCGCCGAGGACGGTGCGCTCACGCTTTCAGAGGGGACTCGTCCGGCCCACGAAGCGGTTACCGTCAGGGAGATCATTTCCAAGGTCGACCTGAACCGCGACGGCGTGCTTGCTGCAGCCTCGGCCAGGAAGTTGGACAAGGGAGCGTACTCGTTGCAGGACAGGACGCTCGAGAGAGCGTCTCGCGCCAGAACGGGTGTGCTCTCGATCCGAGAGGCCCTCGCGGACCTCTTGGTCGCGGAACCCCGCGTGTTGCAGCCTAGGGCTTCCCCAGAGTCGGGTGCTGTCGAGAGTTGGTTCCGGCAGTATTTCCTTGGAGGGGTTGCCGATGTCTTAGAGGTTGCTTGGGGTGACGCGGTCGTTTCCGACGCGGCTAGGAGGCACGGGTATAGGGTTGTTCCAGCTTTTGTGCAAGGCAAGCAGGCCTACGGGATCACCTGGAACCTGGCCGCAGAAGGGCACTTAGAGGCAATTAGCGGCGCTGTTTTGCGCGCAGAGCCGAAGGTGCTCGTGATTGGGCTTGAGGGCAAGAATGTGCCCCGAGCTTTCCTTCAGCTAGTCGTCCGGTGTGCGCAGGAACGCACGCGCGCGGGCGCCCACGTCGCGCTGCATTTGCAGGCACAAAAAGGCGAGTGGGAACCCTGGCGGCTAGAGGAGTGGGGCGCCTTGTTTGGGACGCTCGCAGAGCCACGCTGGCCTTGGGCTTTCGTGCGGGCTGACATATGCCAGTTCGCGCGGGCCAGTGGCCGCGACAACCTCGTTGAGAGCGGGGCCCTGTGGCTCGCCGATTTCAGCTTAGAATCGGTAGGTTTGAGGTGTAGTAGGCCGGATGCGTTAGGCGCAGTGCAGCACAAGCACGTTGGGCGCGCGCAAGCCGACTACAACCTCATAGGGGCGGCTTTCTGCGCATCACTCCAGGACCTTGGTCTGAGGGGCGCAGAAGAGCTGTGCACCGCTGCAGTTGAAAGCTTTCCAGCCACTGCGGGTGCGGATAGCGCCGCGGCTGCACCACAGCCCTCTCCAGTCATTCCCCTCCCGGACGTGCGCTCGGGCGAGGACCTCACGCCAGCAGAGCGTGCGGAGCTGGATAAGGAGGTGGATAAGTACGCCGCTGAGAAGGAAGCGTTTTGGCGAACCAAGGCGGACGCCAAGGACTGGGATTCCGTCCGGGCTGACCTTGAGGTCTATGCTCTTGCGGGCGAGAAGGTCGCGGAGGATCCTAGGCGCACCGAGGCCTATAGAGACCTCGTATGGTCGGGTTTGAAGATCGAGCCTGGACCAACCAGACCAGGGCTGACCGATGCTGACATCGCAGCCGTCAGGGAGGTCATACGGCGAAAGGCCGCTGGGTTCTGGGTGGAGGACACCACCAGGACCACGGTCAGGAAGTTCGCCCATGACTGCATCCCCACCGGGCCGCCGGTCTCGTCCCAGCCTCACAGTCTGAGGGGCGAGTCCGCGCAATGGGTCGACGACAAGCTTGAAGAAGAATGCAAGCGGGGTCAGTTGATCCGCGGCAGCTCGGCTTGGGGATCTGCGCCGTTTCCGACCAAGGAAATGCCCAGCTACAAGCGGCATAGGAAGCGACGCTTGGTGGTTGACTACCGCCGTGTGAATGCCCGAATTAAGCGCTCCACGTACTATTGTCGGCGGGGTAGCGATGTGCTCGCCGCCGCAGTAGGTTCGGTTTGGTATACCTTCGTGGATGCGGTTAGTGGGTTTAATCAAATTAGGAACACCAAGCGTGCTCGCGAGGTGTTGGCCATTGTGGCAAGATCAGGGAAATATCTCCCTGTCGGCCTCACCTTTGGCCCGATTAACGGCCCAGATGATTTCAACTTTGTGGTTGATAGGGCCTATGCCCCCGGCAGAGGTAGGCGCCTTAAGTATACTAAGGAGTGGATAGCCTACGTGGATGATCTTACTGTTAGGACGGGTAGGGTCATTGATGGGCAGTTTTTCACTGATGCCCAAGCCGAGGGGGCGGTGCGCGAAGCGTGCGCCAAAGGGGCAGTCGCAGCTCCGCAGAGCGCGTCGTCTGCTCTTGAAGCCTTAGGCGTTCGCGGTGCGCACAACACCAAGCGCGCGAACCATGACGCGGCGCGCTCAGACCAGAATCACCCCACGCGCGTTCTGATGCTCAGGATGTTGGGGCTGTTCGGGTGTTTCTGTGTTCAGGGCGGGTGTTTTTGGGGCGGGCCGTTTCCCAGGTCGCCGGTCTGCGGGCAGAAGGATTTCTCGTCGTTCGTCGCGTGCGGCTTCGTTCCTCTGTCTCGCAGCCAGTGTTTTGCAAGCAGGCCTAGAGGTTCGGTCCAAGGTCGAAGCAGAAGCCTTAGAAGCCTTAGAGCCCAGACCTTAAGGAAACTCCCCAAACCCCCGCCGCAGCGGTTCAAGTGTGTTGTAGAACCTAGGGTAGGTAGTCCCTCTCCGCGTTCGTGCCTGTGCACTGCGCCCCGCTGCGGGTCGCGACCAGACCGCGCGGGAGCGACCGATCGGTCGCCCGGACCTTCGTGGTCAACCACAAGGCCCCGCTGCGGGCCGTGCCCTGGCCGCGCGGGAGCGGCTGCCTACCACTACTGCGCACCGGCCCCTTGCAGCGGGCCGTGTCCTGGGTACCGGTATCCAAGGGCTTCACCATGCCAAGGCCCTTTGCCTACTGCGGCCTGATGGCTCGGTGGTGCTGATTGGGAGCCTCAATTTTACCACAAGCAGCAAAGCCAATGCGGAGGCAGGGCTTAGGCTTGAGGTCGCCAAGACGCACCCGGTCGCGCAGTCCTACATCGAGGATTTCCAGAGGGTGTCGGCTGAGGCATTCTCCCTCGATGAGGCGGTCGCAAGGCGCCCTCAGTTGGAGCGAGCCAGTAGCTCCAACGTTGCTGGCATCGCCACTCGTGCCCCCATCACTGCTCCACAGGGTATCGAGTAGGCTGCGGCCAGTCGGCGCAGCGTGGAATCGTTTCCACGCGATTTCTTAGGCGTCACAGCGCGGCACGCTGTCGTGCCTCTTTTGATTGTATTTTGCTAGCGGGCGAAGAGCCGCGGCAGGGTTGGCCCTCCCGATTTTGCCTACCCCGCACTTTTCTTCTCAGCCCGTTGCGGCTGCTGCGGACCGTGTCCTGGTCGCGGCAATGCGCTCGCCGAAGCGCGTGCGAGCTGCATTGCCTGCGGCACAAGCCATGTGCGCGGCTCTCGCTGAGTCTGGTAGCCCGTAGGGTAGTTCCGGATAGGTGAGTAGCCGTAGCCGTAGCTTAGGACCGGCCGTGTACAGTGTACCATCTGTACCATAGATTTCAGTGTCTGCCGTAGCAGTCCTCAAGGCACTCAGTGGGCTCTGTGTACTGGAGCCTCGACTCAGGTCATGCAAAAGACCGGTCCGCCTGGTTTAGGCTGGTCTTGGAGGGTCGCTCGTTTGGGTCGTCTCGTTTCGCGTGTCTTCGTTTGCGGGCTTGCGCCCAAAGCCGCGACGGACGCCCGCCCTCCTTGTGGAAGTCACTCACCGGAGCCTCGGCTGAGGGGCGAATGTGAGCTGACATGAGTGCATATGCATCTTCTGCTCTGTGATGCATTAGGACTCGGCAGACCACCTTGTAGTTTTCCTTTGCATGTAGAGTTTTGCAATTCGTAACAATGCCAATATTTTGGCTCAAGTACCGAGCTTGTGCCTTTGAGCACGGTAGAGTCGTACAGTAGCTCCTAGGTTGCTGTGCGGTCCGACCGGACGCACTCAGGCGTAGCTGCACAAGTGCTTGGACTCACGAAGTCGTAAAACAGCGTGACCGGGCTGTGATTGCATTGGCTTAGTGCAAGTCCAGTGCTGGTCGACTTCACATATTGTATATGTATATATGTATCATACATTATGTATTTCATATTTTGTATTGTATACTATATACTATTTATTATATATTCTCAAATATGTGCTGCATATTATACATAATATATTATACATTATATATTATATATTATATATTATATATTATATATTATATATTATATATTATATATTATATATTATATATTATATATTATATACTATGTACTATATACTATATATAAAAATAATATTATATTATATATTATATATATATTATTACATATTATACATTATGTATTAGACATTTTGTGTTACACATTATACATTTTTTGTGATATCTAGCAGATATATATATATATATATATATTTATATCTATATTTATATGGTATCGTATATGTTTTACAGTACACATTCTGTTTTCATATTGTATACAGCACCTTTCGTAGTATATGTTATATATATATATAAATATATATATATATATATATATATACACATATATATATATATATATATATATATTACCCCTCAAACCAGTCGCCTGGGTGCAAGCAATATGGGGGGTGGGGGGCGGGGGGCAGGTGAGTGGGGGGTGGGGGCTGGAGCGGGTCTGGGAAGCCTGAAAAAGCCGGGCGCCTGGTCCTGATGCACGGTCGGCTCCCGCACACCTGTTGGCTAGGGGGGGGGGACTAATTTCAGCCAAAAAGGTTGCAAATGACGGATATTTAATATAAGCAATATATTACCTATACATATACATGGATAGGTATGTATATGTATACATGTGAAACATGTATACAACAAGGCTTAACCATGGGGGTTCAGGGATGCAACGGCAGAGGTACCGTGGATTTCGTGGAGCCATCACTGCAGTTGCAGACAAGTCTGGTCGCTTTGAGACTGTCGGAGTGGCGCAGAGGCCGCCGGCCCTGTTTAGAATTACTGTGTTGCGTGCTGTCCTCAGCCTCAAAACGTTCAAAACCCAAGCCCTGAAACCCTAAATCCATAGCTATGCCCTGAAGCCATAAGCCGCAGTGGGTAGGCATGGATCGACTCGCATCGAAGTCACAGAGCTACCAGTGAGGAAGTGGACCCAGGAGTGCCTGACCGACATGTGAGGTATGTGAGTTTGAGTACTTATTCTTGAGTTTTGGCCCAGATCCATAGAATCATTCAGAACCATGGAATGCAAACTCAAGGACTACAAAGAGTGGGTGCTAGAGCAGATGCAGGCCAGCCACTGCGCACGGTACCATGTCTGCGAAACCACGGGTCCCTGCTTGAAGCATGCAGGCTCAAGCCGGCAAGAGGGCTATGATCTCGGAGTTCCGCGAGTATCACACGGCGCGGATGCAAGCTGCTGGTGTTGAGTAGGGGGGATTGCAGTGCCCGAAGCCTCTGAAATCGCAGCACTGATATTCTGATACAGACAGTCAACCCCTGCCTCCCATGAAGCAGCTCTTTGTGGCAGCAGCACAGATCGTGAGCCTCCAGATCACATCTAGAAACTCTCGAAGCAAGCCTGCTCAAAGCAAGCATCTCAGCGTGTGCTGCATGGAGCAAGCTCCATGCAGCATGGAGCTCGCTGTAGCAGTACCTGTGCTCTGAGATGTGGATCGCAGGAGAATACTGTCCACTTCAGCCTGTCCATGCTACCTGACAAGGCAGGCGAACTACCTGAAGTTTCATCGCGTTGTGCAGCGGTTAGTGCGTTCAAAATTTCCACGGTGTGATGACCATGGGTGATAGAGATCGCCCTTTCGTACAAGAAAGAGTTGTCGGGTGGCTGTAATATGTCATGCTCAAGGTATCCTCTTCAATCCAGGGTTCTTTCAGTGAGCAGGGTGTGCATGGAACCGCAGAGATTGCGTGACCTTCGAGTGAGGGAGTTTTCGCCTTGTTGCAAAGACATCTGCAAAATGGCACACTTTTTGCACCTTTCCTGTGGAGGTGGCCCAAGCTGAGCAGCGCGGACTGGAGAAGACTCTGCACTTGAAGCTCCGCGCATGCACCGAGCGCTCACTTCTCCGACTCTTTCACTGTCTCAATCTCTGCCTCTCTCTCTCTCTCTCTCTCTCTCTCTCTCTCTCTCTCTCTCTCTCTCGGGGTTGAATATACATAAATATACACACATATGTATAATATACACATATATATATATATGTGTGTATATGAATATGCAGTAATTAGGTTATGGCAAGCTTTTATAGGTGGGGGGAAGGGAAGGGGCATCTTCTGCGGCCAGGTCCTCGCTGTCGACGACGAACATGCACCTCTTCGATGCGAGTGAAGAGCTTACGCTGTTGATCTGTCTCTACGCATACATATATATATATATATAAGTCTGTAAATAATGAAGGTACATAGTATATATATATATACATATGTATGTATGTAAATGTATGTATGTAAATGTATGTATGTATGTATGTATGTATGTATGTATGTATGTATGTATGTATGTATGTATGTATGTATGTATGTTCAAACTGATCTATGTTCTCATATTTGTAACAGTATCTGTATGTACATGTGTATATCCCGTAAATCGCTATCCTGTATTTGTAAATGATCATGAAGAACTAATTTTAACGCTACGCGACCCGCCTCGGCCTGGCCCAACAGGCCGACGTGGGGGGTGGACTTCAAGCTGGTTGAGGAGCGGATTAGAGGTGAGGAATCGGCTGTCAGTCACGTAAGTCACGAAGTGCAAGCTGGGCTGTGAGGAGAAACAACTGTGTTATGTCAAGAGAAGAGCCAGGCGGGTGAGTGGGGGGTGGGGTGCTGGGTGTGGGTGTGGTGGGGGGCGGGTTGGGGGGGGGTGGGGGAGGATTTGGAGGGGCGTGCCTGTTCCGACAACCTAGACACCTTCGGCCCGAGGCCTCAGCGGATATCATATGTATGCACATATACATATATATGCGCATTTATAGTGCAATATGCAAATCCACACATCGGTACGCACGCAAACATACGCACGCTGACACATACATGAATGCATGCATGCATACATGCATACATACATACATCTGTGGCGGTTTGGCTGCGACCGCCGCAACGCCCGCGACCCAAGGCGGACGATTAAAGAAGTACGAGTCGCCCGAGGACATCCTGCAGGACTTCGCCAAGGCTTGTTGTGGGGACTTGCTTGGATAGGGGCTTCAGCTAGCTGCACCTTGTCGAAGGGTCTCGAGATTTTGTGTCCTTGGGCGCAGAGTCTCGGCTGGAAGGTCCGTATGGAGCTGTACGCCAAGCGCAAGGAGCACTGCATCGGGAAGCTGTCCCGCGAGGTGGGGATTTTTTTCTCGGGGAGATGTGAAGATGAAGGGGGCATCCGAGGTGGCCACGCTGACCGATAAAGCAAAGTTTATTCGCCTGGTGGTGGATGGCCAGCTAGAGGCAGCCGCAGATGCCTTCAGAAGACCTTCCGTTTCACGTTTGCTCCAGACAGGTTGCCGATCGACCTTCTCGAAAGGCGGGGGCGGTGTTATGTCAATAGATACCGATATCGACGATCTTGACCATGGTTTCCATCAATTCGAGCAAAGCTTCGAAAGGTCTGCAACGATATGCGCCGTTTCGGACTCCGGACGAAGCAAGAGATCGAGGCCTCCGGTCAAACTCAGAGATGTCGCAGAGTCTCCGTGTATGGCCTGCCTACGCAGGCTGGTGTTGAGGAGAGGTCAAACTCTTCAGGCTCTTTTCTCACTTCGCCCAGGCACAAGCACACTCTGTAGAGCTGTCTTGATAATTGGTACTTAAGCGGTTTCAGAATCAGCTTCCTGCAGGAGGCGCTTGCGGAGTGTGATTGATGTCATGGACGCCGACGTGGATCTGGTGCGCGCGGCTTCTTGCAGATGTCAGCTGTGCAGACAAGGGTGTCTAGTTATGGTTGTCGAGTGCCGTCAGGCAGGGCCTCAAGGTTACGACTACCTGCTGAAGCTCAAGCTGTGGACTCTCACAGAGGATACTCGTCTGTCCTGGCATCCCGCAGACAATGCCTTCATACTCATATTCTGCAATCAGGAAGCTTATGAAGAAGAAGAAGTATCAACATAAATGTGAATAATCAAATCATTACATATGAACAAGGACAGAAACAATATATGCGAGATATGTACATATATATATGTATGTATGTATGTATGTATGTATGTATGTATGTATGTATGTATGTATGTATGTATGTATGTATGTATGTATGTATGTATGTATGTATGTATATCGGTACATATAAAATAGTACATATATAAAATAAAAAAAACAAACAAACAAATAACTGAATAAATATACACATATGTATGTACATACGTGTATATATATATATATATATATATATATCCCCATATGATGGTTTTGATTCAGGAGCGTCTGGCGGCTTTGGAGCAGCAGGTCGAGGCAAAGAACCAGCAGCTGGAGGAGCTGAAGGCCACGAGCCGTTTGGGTTTAGGGTTTGTGGTTTAGGGTTTAGAGTTTGAGGTTTAGGGTTTAGGGTTTGGGGTTTAGGGTTTGGATCGTCTTCACGAAGATGATCCTTTTAGGGCTCATCGCGTTCGCTTGCCCCGCATCATTTTTGATGACATGCTGAATAGCATGGCAGGGCCGATACAAGCAGATATTGGCATGGTTCAGAAGTGCGTCCCTACATATGGCATGGTTCAGAAGTGCGTCCCAGTCGTGTGCAGGTTTTGAAAAGCTACCAAAATGTTTGCTTCTACGTCATACGAAGACTAGTTCCGGGATTTGTATAATTCAAAAACAAGAAAGACTCCATACTTCTGTCAAGAAGTATCTTTCAGGTTGCAGGGGTTCTTCATTTATCTTCAGGATTTTGGATGGGCAGGGCCGTTTAACAGAGGCTGCATTGTTCACCTCGGCACCAGGAAGTCAGTGTGACTGAACGGCTCTTTTGGCTTGATCCGGTCGTCGCATCGTCAACGATGCGGCGCGAGTGCTGCAAGCATCGCCTCGGTGCCCGGATGCTGATTTACATCCTCGTCATTCGCAGCACTGGTAACATGGGCGCGTGCTCTGGCCATTGGCATGCGCTGCGAACCTGGAATTCAACTCCAGAGACGGAGGGACCTGGTAACGGATACGAGTGTCCCCTTTATTTTAGGGTTTAGGGTTTCGGCTTCAGGGTTTCGGGATTTTCGGGGTTTAGGGTTTAGGGCGGGGTGGGGGGGGGGGGCTCTCAGCCTCGAGCTCTTGCTCAATGGAGGCACTCTTGAAGCTTCCCGCGCTTCGCTTGTGGCCGAGTTTGTTCGAAGCGCCAGAGAGTTTGCCGAGGCGACGACCCTGGAGCAGTTGTGGGAGAAGGTGCCTCCTGCTGCCCTTCCCCTCCTCTAGGTTCCATGTTCAGGGTGTTGTGTGGAAAGGCCATGTAAAAACAGCTTGTTACTGCTTTTTTGCACACCGCGCGGGCTGCATGCGCATCAAGAAGTGCTCGGAGACAACAAGCAGATAGTTTGTGGAGACAATGCTCAGAAAACGCAGTTTGCGCCTTCCATGCTAGGACCTGGTTCGGCTTGAGGCTGCGCTTGATGGTGTGGAGGCCAGTTGACAGAGGGAGAGGCTCTTCAGTTTGGGCTTGCTCTCGGAAGATCTCGGGGAGCTTCTCTCTGTCTTCTCTCGCGCCAGGCTGAAGAGCGGAAGGAACAGCAAGAGGCGGTCGGGGCACCCTGCAGCTCATGCTAAGCTCTTTCGGAGCTCCTGTAGCACAGCACATGCAGCACGACAGATGTTCTGAGGTCCGATTGATGAAGAAGGCCGGCTACTTCGAGGACCTCTGCTTAGCTTCGAAGCACTCTTAGCCCCTCTTAGCCCCTCTTCTCCAAGGGCCGGTGGAACACCACCCTGCCAGGACGATGCCTCTGTGAATCGTCAGTGCGCCCGGAGCTCGCCACCCCAATGTGGAGAGGTGCTCCATGGCATGGTTCGAAGACCAGCACCCTTATGTCTGAGGTTCTGATTCTGAGTGATGGCTTTTCCCAGATCAAGCGCATCCGCACCGACCGCTGGAAGGCCAGATGAAACCCAATAGACCACGGGCATGGGCTCAAGAACTCGGTGCCAAATCCATTCCTGGCATGCTGATTCTGTAAGCCCTAAACCCTAAACCCTAAACCCTAAACCCTAAACCCTAAACCCTAAACCCTAAACCCTAAACCCTAAACCCTAAACCCTAAACCCTAAACCCTAAGGGTGCTCGACGCGGCGCTGGGAGATCGATCGTTCAAGCCTGAGTTGGTGTGCAGTGGGCGGTCGCCTCTTGAGTGTCCTGCATGTACTGGTTTAGGGTTTAGGGTTTAGGGTTACTGCCTGTCAGGCCCAGGCCAAGAAAAAGAAGAAAGCAAAGGATGCACCGGCAAGTCCGACATTCAGGAGAATTTAGAAATATTCGGATAAATTGCTGTCTTGTCTCAGATGCCTCTCTTAACCGTTCTGAACCCAAGGCGGAGACGATGGAGAGGCGTCCTTTCTTTGCCCAAGAATCGGCTCAGGAAAACGGTCTGTCCCACTGTGGCAGGGGGAGGACGTGGACATGGATGAGGATGACTTGACGGACGCAATCAGTGCTGTCAGCTTCCCAATCATGCTGCACATAGTGGACCTAGTCCCTGGTCGACTCGGGAGGGTTAAAAGGCTTGGATCCATAAATGTCTGAACTTCGAGAAAGCCACTTTCAAATCTGATAGCGAGCCGGAAAAAACGGCGGCACCTTCCATTCACGCAATTCGCCTGCCATGGCAGCCACAGCTGTGGCGATACTATCTTTACTTCTCTGGGGTGCAGCTGGGAACAGAGCGAAGACCACACCTCTGACAGAGTTTGTGCAAAGAGCAGTCACCAAGCAGGTGCGCTCAATGCGTTTCAGCAGCCACTTTCATGGTCTTTTGCAACTAGGGGGGCTTGCTCTTGCTTGCTGCCCATGGCCTGTGCTGCCAGAGCGGTTGTATGTGTTACTATAGTGTTACTATAGTTATTAACCCAGCTGTGCAACCCAACAGCCAGCAAGACAAAGATCATCAGTTCCGTTCCGGCGTTCCGTTTCGAGGGCTCTGGGTTTGCCCTCTGCCTCTTGAGATAGAACCCAACCCTTCGGCGGTTGGGAACTGGAGGGGACGTGATAAGAAGCGCTTGATTCCTCGGGGTCGCTAGCTCACTGCTTCGGCGTTCTGGTATGTGCCTATTTTGGCCCGCTCTGCCACTGCGAGGTATGTTTGCTCCAAAGTCAGCGCGACATGCAAAAGGTCCGGTCTTACGCGAAGGACGCGGGCAGCGAGGCTTCGCCCAAGATCCTCTACAGCAGCTTTGCGGCACGCAACTGTCCCCGCTGTCCGAAGATCCTGCGTCCTCTCGTTTTCAGCTTGCTGGGTGTAGCTGCAGGCATTGGCGCTGGCATGCACCAGCTGCCTCAGCTGCAGGCGTGCCTCGAGACTTGGGCCTCCAATCCAGGAGAAGGTGGGGGAGCGTGAGTCTACGAGTCCAAGGTTTGAGTATTCTCCGGTAAACTCAGTAAACGCCTGCCAAAGGCGAGATCCAAGTCATTGGCGTGGATGCCAAGGACAGCCCAGTAGAGGCGGGGGGGGGGATCTGCCCATAGGCCCCCGTAAACCGAACCCGCAAAGGCCTTCAACGAATCTCCAAACTCGATTTGACTTGACATCGGCCCTAAGCCAGGGGTCGCTTTTGCCGATGTCTGAAGGGTGCCCAAGCGCCACCCTGAGTACCCTTCCAGCACGCCCCAACAACAGGAGGGAAGTTCTGTGTAGGGCTTGCCCGGTGTTTCGGTGAAAACCTTCTTGGGGGCCACCAAGGTGCCAATGGACCCACGAACATGATTCGCCCCCCCCCCCCCCCCTCCCCGCCCTTAGAGCTCAAAGTAGCCTGCGCCAAAAGAAGAGAGGCATGCCAAAGAATATACGTCCCTAAGTTGTGAGGGGCGCGCCGGGGGATTGCAGCGAAGATTCCGCAACGTACAGCCACGTGAAGCAGGGTTTATATTTCTGTTTTTGGCGAGTGTATTAATAAGGTTCCTTTTTTAATGTTGGTGAGTGTAGATACCTGGTGTCCTTCTGGGGGGTACAAGAAATATGTACCCTACAGCCCTGTCAGGCGGCGAAGGTTCATTGGGATGCGGCTGCGGAGTGTCCAGACAGCCACCTGGGCGGCGCGTGCAAGGATGCCGTGGGCTTGGCCAATGCCTATGAGAGAGGCGATGGGTTTTTTGGCTTAGGGTTTAGGGAGGTTAGGAAGTTTAGGGTTTGAGGTTTAGAGTTTATAGAGTGTAGGGCCTCTTTTGGGGCAGCTTGCCTTTGACGGAGCTTCCTTCTGTGCTGTATCCCCTGAGGTGTGGACTGGGCTGTACTCCTGGGCACAGACAATTATGTTGTGGCATCCCATGTCGAGAAGGCCCTGAAGCGCTTCGACCCCGAAGAACCGCTCATCCTCGGCATCAAAGGTCCGTGAGGTTGTAGCTACAATCATGGTCGCTGTAGTCAGGATCTTCGGCCATATCGGGGTTTACGAAAAGAAGGGACCCCCAATATAGATCCCCAAATAGTGGGATTCCCTTATAATGAGGACCCCAGTAAGGTACCCCGAAGTTCGGAAACCCCCACATCGAACCTCCAGAGCTTCTGAATGCTTTCGAGGATGTGGGCTCTTTGACTGCTCTGCTGGTGGCCTCTGCGGTGGTGGGGGGCAGATTTTTAGCAGGGGGGCCTTGCAGGCCTTCTTGGCTTCAGGCCAATAGCAGCGAAAGTTTCGTAGGTGGGGTTGGCCCTGAAGCCAATTTTTGTAGGAAGCGGTTGACGGCCCAAATTCTGGGTGTGTAAAGCCACGACACCCCTTACATGCACTCTTTAGACGATGCTCCCTTTTGGGACCCCTCTAGGCCCTGAGCCCTGCATGCGAACTGCACGGCTGGTTGTTCCTTGGTTGTGTTTGCTCCTGGAAGGTCGCGAGGCATTTCTACAAGAGCAGAAAGAGGAATCTGAAGCCGTTGGTGGCTGGGGGGATGTTGCAAACTGCCGAGTGGCCGCCAGCCGGAACATAACAATCCGTGCCCTGGCAGTGTGAAAAAGGCCTCAGTTTTATTCTGATAGCAGGCGACGAAAGTGAACCATAGCATGCTCTCTCAAGTGGCTTCTATCAAGCCTTGCACTGTTTGCTCGTCTCCGCACAACTTCTTGTTGAAAGCCTTCGGACTTCCATGTAGTACTGCCAGTTGTTCGCGGCCGCGAAGTGACTATGTGCTGAGGCAATCTGTTCGGCCTCCACGCGTGGCAGACGCAGGGGGCGTTACACAGACGAGACCTGACTTTCCACTACGTCAGCGCAACTACGATGTACGAGATGAGCAAAAAAGAGGATCTGCAGCATCAGGATTCTGTGCTTCTGTCGACCAGCGTGTCCGAGTCAACTTCTGCGACTTACATCAGGGCCAGAGAGGATTATGTCAAAGCCGAGAACATGCGCCGCAAACATGCGCACGCTCAATATCGGACCCCATCACCCAAGATGACTTGATGTGACTGCCTAGTTGGTGACGAGCAGAGACCAAACACATGTTGACGTGTGGGTGTCACCCGTACATTCACATCCGTTTATCGGCATGCGCGAGCTGCTACGACCTACTGAGAAAACTGGAAGCTTGCTTCAGCCCAAAAGACATGCATGTGAACATGAGTGCTAGCAGATGACCTCGGATGTCCGAAGCGCATGGCAAGGCCTTTGCCTGTCGGGAATTCGACGCCCTCTTGGCCTTCACGCGCAAGGGGAAGGTCTTTCGGATGCAGGCCTCCGAGAGTGTGCGCCACTGGGAAGCAGGGCCACGGAACGCCCTTCACAAGCTTCACAGCGTGCCGAAGCGATGCGGGACGCTGCATTCCATTACCTGCCTCTTCGTTCTCAGTTACTACGCGCAATAATCCTGGATATGCCATCACTCATTCGGGGGTTAGCCTGACTGATATGAAGAGAGTGTGATAACATGAACTGGATTGAACAGGCCGATGCCTAGCAAACGTAGTCGACAGGACGTTTTAGGCAGGCATTTGCTTCATGTCCTCTTGCTCTTTGTGGTAGAAAACCTTTCAGTCCCAGCGCAGTGGTGGTTTTGCAGGGCCACGAAAGTTGCCAAATGCGCTTGCAGGCGCTGGACGTTCCTTTGATGCATGGCAAGCAGAGCTCGGTCGAAGCCTCGGCAGAGGACAACGCGGAATCATCCGACTCGACCCTCCAAAGCACTCAGAATCAGCGCGACGATCACGGCTCAGGTGCCCATTGCAGAACTGGCGCCGAAGTTGCCAGACGACGACTGCATAGCCTCAGTCAGGCACTTTGCTGTCCGGCAAACCCGAGACCATCCTAAGCCCCCCGAACTCTGAGCCGCAAGTCCTTTTGATTCGTCGCGCTGAGGTCATCGTCGTTCCCCACGGTGCACTGAAGGACCAAGGCCAGGCTGCCAAGATGTGGACAGACAGCCGACACACCGGATACTTGTGTGCATACACAGTATATCACAATATCTACCTACGTACGCCATGCGGGAGGGCTGTAGGCCTAAGGGCATGCCGATGGTACTTGTAGCGTTATTTCGTCTTGCAAGGTGCACGCCATCTGCCAACCCCGCCCAACACCCTCCGTACTGAAAGCTATTCAGTGCTGATATTGCATATACTCGCACAATTATGCATCGACATGTGTGCAGAGGCCACGAGTTCGCGGTGACCGTCACCGCCAATGGCCTGGTAAAGAAGATCCCGCTGTCTTGCTTCCGTGGTCTGAAGGACAAGCAGGCCGTGACAGTGATCACGTACGGGGACGTTTTCCAATGTGTATCTTCATGACATTTCAGTTTCTTATTTCTTACCTTCCTCCTTGCACTTGCAGTTGAGCTGCGCCTGCCCACTCGAAGACAAAGGCACGCAGAGGGATGGGTCAAGGTTGATGGGCATGTGCAAGGGCTCGAGCCATCGTCACAGGTGATGATGAGCTTCGCTGGGTTCATCGCGCATCTGCTCAGGCAAAACGTATCAACAGATGATCAACATGAGCCATGGTGGCAGCGGCAAAGCCTTTATGACATTTTACTATGTTGTCTATGGCGCGCATCAGGATCTCCTCGTCATGACTGCAAAGTCTGGCACCACTCTGTGCACGTCCCTGTTGCTGGGCACCTAGTCACCTTGTGCGACGAGCCGTGTGCTTGTTGGAGGTGGATGAAACGTCAGGGTAACCATCTCCTTTTGGAACATATCTGGCTACAAAGACTAACAGCCCTATAGATCCTCAAGAGCTCTGATTTCCTTGAACCCTAAACGCCCGAGCCTACCACGGAAACACTAAATTATGAAGAGCAGGAACCCAGTCGAGACTACGGATGGAGCTATTAGGGTTTAATTGCAGACAGGCTGCCAGACACGTAGTGTTTGGATTTGGGAGTCGGGTAGTTCGGGCGGTGCTGTGCATGGATTGGCGGTCGTGGGCTCTTCATGAGGGGCATGTGGTTCCTGTCTCCGTGGCAAGGGGGCTGCGCCCGAGCAAGCTGAAGGTGCGCGGGCCGTTGCTGCGACTTCGTTGGAGTTTCTTTTGTTTCATGCATGCCCAACATGGCGACCCATGGTCCTCGATTGACACAGCATGACACAGCATGACACAGCGGCTCTTGTGGTTCTTATGCATGACGTGCGGAGGCCAAGCCAATCCCGGCCATGAGGCTCAGGGACGAGCAGTGCCGCCCCCGCCAGTTTCCTTTCCCCCGAGCAACGCTCTCTCTCTCTCTCTCTGTCTCTCTCTCTCTCTCTCTCTCTCTCTCTCCGGTTTTCGACCCCAGCAGATGCAAGCAGGATAGCTTGTAGACGTCGTTGGACTAAGCAACTGTTCAAGAGCATTGCCGCTGCCACCTGGAACAGCCTTTGGGTCTTGAGCTGTGAGAGTGACCTTTATCCCTTACAGATCACCTCAGCCTAACGTGCCCCGAGACCTCCAATAATGTACTTCTTTTACGATCGATGCGCATGAAGCGCTTACTGACCCAGAAACACCGAGAATCGGAGGAGTGAGCTGAGTGGCACTGAGTTTGTGCATCATGGTGGTGGCCCTCGGATGGCTGATCCATAGGAGAGTCTTGACTTGGGCCTTGCAACCCACACTTCGCTTCTGGCACATGGGGCGCCGTTTGCGCCGTGATGTGCTCCTTCCTGGCGGTGAATCAGCCACATGCTCGGTGCGCAAGGGTTGCGTGTCATAGAGTCATGTATGCGTGTTCACGCAAAGTCACGGGTGCGGCCGTGCTACACCAGTGACTCCAGTCTAGTTGTGCCGAATCTGCTCTAGAATGCTTAGTGCATAGGGCACTTGATGACTTGTTGTTGAACATGTTGAGCTGGTGTCGTTGAGTTCGTGATCAAGCTCTCACCCTCAGGCTCATCGCCAACTTGACGTTTGTCAACTTCTTCTTGCGCCCTCGAGGGCCAGATGCGACAAACCATGTCAGGCGCGTCTCTAAACGTGTGGATGTGGCAGTTGCAGAAAAGTCGCCGGCGATGGTTCTTCGCAAGATCATCTCCTTAGATGTTCTGTGTAATTGCTCATGAACCTGGGGTTTACTGCCGAGAGGCTTCAAGGCTTCGACTTCGTGCACAACTTGTTGCACATGTGGCTGCCTCAGGTCGACGTGCTGTAAGAAGCAGTCTCCACGAAAGACGCCTGGCAGGACAGGCGAGAGAAGACCCCAGCCGTTCTTCTCTGCGGATGGCCGCATAGTGGTTCTCTTCAATGGGGCACGCGCCCCACAAACCGGCAGCTGCGAGTCATTTCGCCATTTCGCCCCATCCCCGCGGTTGCAGGAGATTTACAACTGGCGCCAGCTGAGCGAAGAAGCTGTGGAGCAAGGCTCCCCGCCTTTCGCCTCTGCCTGGATCTCAGGATACCGATTGAGGGCTTTCGACTTTTTCAGTGCTTTCACGTTGTTTTCACGTTGTTTTCGTCCCGGTGCGAGGACGGTGAGGCCATCCTTCCGGCCTACAGTTCCCTCGGCGCATCGTTTCCACTAGCCCCTTGGCTTCAAGCATTTTTTTTCACAAGTCTGCAAGGACTGTTCCTGATGAGGTCCTGGAAGGCGAGTTCGCGATCGCCATCTTCGATTTTACGAAGAACCAGGCGGTGTTTTCCAGCGATGCCTTTGGCACGCCTGCCCGGCTGCGTTACAAAAGCCATGCGGCCGCATGTTGCGGTCCTACCGTAAAATGAAAGAACCAGAAGTGACAACATGGGCCCTGTCGATTGGCTCTTTCCTGCCACATTCCAGGAAGCCTTTGTGGTATGCTTTGATTCCGCACAGGCAAAGGCTGGTCATTGCAAGAAGTGCCCAGCATTGTGCAGCAATGTGGGTATAGCAGACTTGCCCAGGATCGCAGTTGCCTCCTACAAGAGCGGACTGCGCCGACTTGGCTTTCCCAAGCGTCTTTCCCCAAGCGCATCTGTGTGTCAGAGATGCCAATGAATCAATGAATAGGAAGGAGTCCGACGGACAGCAATTATTTTGGTGGCAAGTCGTGCTGCGGCAGGCAACATCCACATGGTTGGTCCCAATAGAGCCGCATCCTCAACACAATCGTGTTGTTGCATTAACCGGACAGGACTCTGAAAGCACGTCCAAAAAAGGGCGAGTTGATTAAAGTGGTCACAGTGAACAGCATCCGGTGGGGTAGATAGTTCTTTTGAGCACACGCCGCAGGCACTGACCATCTGCTTGACGACTTTCCGGATTCTCAGACACACCTCTGTCTTCGAGCCTGGACCTTTGCGTACCCTGCCTGCGCCTCTACCAAGTGAGTGGGGAGGCGCGTGACCAACGAAGGTTTGATCTACGACAGTTTAAGACCTCCACAAGCGACTTCTTCACGGCCTTCAATCGGGCTGTGAAAATCCGCACCGAGGACGCCGATGTGGCACTTTTGATGCGAGGTCCATCTTTCGCGTTCAACTAGTAGGTACTGGTAGTTTCGAGTTTCGAACAATTGTGTGCACAAGTATCAGACGTGTCAGACGAAGGAGCTCCGACACACTGTCCTGGACACGTGATCAAAACAATCTCTGCAGCTTGTTCCTTATGCGGCTTATGCGGCCTGTCTGTTGAACCTCAAAGCCTCCCCTCGCTTGAAGATTTGCAGTTCCTCACAACACTGGTCTATCAGAGTTGTCTTGTATCAGTGTTATCTTGTGGACTGAACATCTGACGTCAGCTTCGCATGTGGTCAGAATCACGTGGTCTATGTTCGTCAAATGCAAGGTTCGAAAAGATGCCTCTTCCCGGTAGCACCAAGAAGTTTCTCTGCCATGTCGGCGAAAGGAGCTGCATGCTTCTGGAGCACTGTTTGGATCGAACAGGAAACACGGGGATCGCTTATGAGTGTTTTGTTATTTTTGGAAAGATGCGGCACAATGCTTGCTGAAGACGAGCTCTCCAGATGTCTCTTCGCGCCAATTTGGCCGAAACGTCGCTCATTCCCGCGCCGCTGTCTGCGCAGCCCAAAGCCACATGAACCACCCACACACACACACACACACACACACACACACACACACAAAGACACAAAGACACAAAGACACACAGACACACAGACACACACACACACACTCACACTCACACTCACACTCACACTCACACTCACACTCACACTCACACTCACACTCACACTCACACTCACACTCACACTCACACACACACACCAACACACACACTCCCACACTCACACACTCACACACTCACACACTCACACACTCACACACTCACACACTCACACACTCACACACTCACACACTCACACACTCACACACTCACACACACTCACACACACACACACACACTCACACACACAACACTCACACACACACACACGCAACACTCACACAATCACACACTACACACTCACACACTCACAACACACACTCACACACTCAAACAAACACACACACCTCACCACCCACACACATCAAAAACACCACTCACACACAACACACTCACAAAACACACACTCACCACCACTAAACACTCACCACACACACCGCACTCACACTCACACTCAACTCACACTCACACACACATTCAACACATCACACACACACCACCACACACACTAACACACACACACCAGACACACAGACACACACACACACACACCCACAACACACGTACACACACTTACACACACTTTACACACACTTACACACACCACGACACAACACTTACACACACCCACACACACACACACTCACACACACACACACACTCACACACACACTCACACACTCACACACTCACACACTCACACACTCACACACTCACACACTCACACACTCACACACTCATACACACTCTCACACACTCATACACACTCACACACATTCACACACACTCACACACACTCACACACACACACACACTCACTCACACACTCACTCACACACACTCACACACACTCACACACACACACACACTCACTCACACACTCACTCACACACACTCACTCACACACACTCACACACTCACACTCCCACACGGAAAAGAAGCGCCGCGTGATGCTTCCGACCAGGACCTGATTTCAACAGGTCGCCCTTTGTTTATCGGCCTGTCGTCGGGCTTCGTTCTGGCCTTGGACAGCATGGGGAAGCTCTGCCCGTCTCGCGTCCATGCATACCATACTGTAGCTTCTCAGGATTCTGGGGCCATTCACGCATCACTTCACCACCAGTCTGTGCTGCACCATGCCGGCTGCGCATGCTTGGCTCAGTGTTTTTGTCTGCTGAGTCTGCTCTGGGGGAGAGAGTGCCAGGCATTTGCACTGCTCGGCGAAGAGGCTGGAGCTGTGACTGTTTGCTTGGCCGGCACATCGCCTATGTCTCGGCGACTTAGCGAACAGAGGTCCCAGCGGTGCTGCATGAGAGGGCAATGTCTGCAGCCTGGTTGTGTGAGAAGTCGGTGCATGCAGCAACTTTTGCTGTCAGGGGGCAGTGTAGCTCTGCCCAGGTTCGCCAGGACAACGTCCGAGGCAAGAAAGTGGCTGATCCTCGCGTGATCAAGCTTTGTTCCTCGATGCCTGGGCAGGTGTCAGTTGTGATGATGAACGAGCAGGATAGCAGGGATTTTTTGCAGCTCTCGCCATGGAAAGTGGTGCCTTGTAGTGTCTTAGCAAGTGGCCAGGATTTTGAGCTCGAGCAACTGTGGCTATCACAAAGGGCTGAGCCGTTCTGGTGCTCTGCGATGTTATGATCGATGGTCATGTGTACGTATAGGACTTCTGAAATGCAGGTATCTCGGGGTAAATGCCACCGGCCAGACCAACGTTTTGGATGACCTCGCATCCACAGGCAGGCTTCTGAGTTCATCGATCGAACCCTCAAGCTCCCCACGTTGCTCTGCGGGCCCTACATTGCCCCACATTGCAGACCTTGCCTTGTGATCAATGGAAACATTTGAATGTGAGCGCAGGACTCAGCTACATTGTCATCGGCCCAGTGCCAGCGAGCATCACACAAAGCTGTGGCAGCTCAGCATGCCGAGGTGCGGCTGAGCCGTGACAGGGGGGCGCTGTGCTACCTTTCCGGATCGGGAGCGGACGTTCAGCCCGCCTGGTTTTTGGCTAGACAGCCAATAAGGCAGCGTGTCAGACGCAAAGACGGCGGAACGAGTGTTTTCGAGTGGTTTGAGCTTGTTTCCTACGCCAGGAAATCCTTAGTGACTATGGCTTTGCCGGGGACAAGTGGTGCCCGTCCCACCCCCAATCGCCCTCGGCATTCCAGTGAATCTCTGGGAGCTTGGATTGAGCATGTAGCAGTAATGTAGCAGCGGCGTAGCAAGAGGCAGTCATCGTTTGGAGGATTGCAGGCGCCTCAGATCGAGGGAGGATCCGGCATCGGCAGTTTTTGTTTGCCCACATAACCGTGGATGACCTGAGGTTTCCAAACGACTTGTCGACCATCTTCCCCTGGGCAGGGTGCGTTTCTCGGCGCTGGCATCCTGTCGTCGAGTGCAAGACAGTGCTTGCTTGTGGTGCTTGTCCTTCCTTAAGCCGGTGCAAGTCTGCTGGTATCTGCTCGGCTCGGTGGTGCCCAGGTTCTTTTTGTCTACGCAGCGGGACTATCTCCACAAGGAAGAACACGTCGTCGGAACCTCAGCTGGGCAACTACCTGTAGCGCAGGCGAAGAGCTGCTTTTCAAAGGGCATCCCAGGCTGGAGCCCATGGGGTGGAGGCAAGATACCCCTTCCTGGATCCTCGTGTGGTGCAGGAGCACAAAGGGCCACATGTTTTCTGGGCAGATGCCTTGCAAACTGACAAGTGCAAGAGGAGTTTCTCTGGCTCGCACCGGAAGTGAAGAACCGGGAGTACAAGGCGCACGTCGTGACGGAGTTTTTTATTGAGATTTGAGAGGGTGTTCCGCCACAAGCCGCTTTCAAGCTCTTGGGGACGACGCGCCGCTGTTTCGGCTGCTCTCTCGGCTCGATAGACCAGGGATCCTGGAGTGCCCTTAGGCCACCAAGGTCCTTCCTGGCGCCGAGGCTGCAATTAGCAGGGCTGTCAACTTCGGCAGGTTCTACAGATTCAATAATCTATCAGACTAGAAAAGTCACTGTAATCGCCTATACACCCTATAAATGCCACTATGACACTATGAACCCAGAACAGCGAGGCGAAATGAAGCTCAGCATGGCGCGGTTTCTTTGCCTCTGCCTCTGCCTGGTGCCGGCAGACTCGGCCAGCGTCCTCTCGAAGGTTGGAGGGACTGATGCCTGGGCCGACCTGGGCCGATGCCGCCTCTTAGCAATGATCGAAGGTGTTGTCCATGCTGAAGTCGATGAAAGAAACAGGCCACTTGGGTGCATCCAGTGTGCCGAGCAAGGCGGGTCCAACGCCGAACTGACAGAATGTTGAGGTGAGAAGGAGAAGCAAGACGAGGCTGTGCAGTACGCGGCATACAAGACTTGGTGCGAGGGGGAGACGGCAACGAAGACCAAAGAGGCGCGAAAGGGTTCTGTGCATTAGCAAAACCCGCTTTGGAGAAGAGCACCATGTCTTGTCCTGCAGAGGTGACCGATCTCTCCGACCAGACAGACCTCCTGAAGGCTGAGATTGACGCTTGGTGCAGCCACGGATTGGCCTGTTCGCTGCGATCTTTTCAAATCCTGAGTCGCGGGTGCATGTGAAAGTCTCCTTGTTGTCATGCCAAAGCCCAAGAGAGCCAGCGCCGAGGAATCTGCAGAGGCCGCAAGCAGCACCTTCGACGAGAAACTTGCAGGCCCGGCTTTTGCAGAACTTGAAAAATACATTGGGGGGGGTTTCCGATATTAGGGGGTACCTTATTGAGGTCCCTACAACTTCGGGAGTCCTCCTCTTTGGGGCTCTATTCGGGGCCCCCTTCTATTCGTAAAACCGTACCCATTTGAAACAAGAAATAGCAGCTACCGAGGCCTGAGTGCCGACATGACCAAGTGGACCATCGAGGCAGACAACGCCACGGCCCTTCGGAAGGAGCAGAGGGCCGCGTACCAGGAGACACACAAGGACCCACCCCCCCCCCCCTCCCCGGGACTGGGCTTCTTGAGCGTGGCTCTCTGCCTTGGTTTTTTTGAGAGCGAGTTCGACTCCAAGAGCCCAATCCTCTCTCTACCACTCGAAGTAAGTCGCAGTGCCCCTCAAGGCGTGATGGAGCATGTTTGAGCTGTGGTTTTGCTGTTGTCACATCTTCTCACTTTGCACAGCACGATGAGGACTTCACTGAGTCGATTCAGGCGATTATGGGGGCTCAGAAGGTCCTCAAGGATCAGGCGCCCCGCCCGATCGACCCAAGATGCCTTTTGGGTTTTTCGTTATTTCTTCTAAGCAGTTCCTGCGGAGGCCGGTACCTCGAAGGTGCAGCCGGCAGACTTGTCGGGGAGAGGGGTGGTTCGGGGCTCTTACTTCTTGTTGCACTTCCGGTGCCTCTTTTCCTCATCTCTCCCTCTCCGGATCCCTCCAGGCCTTGGCCTCAATTCAAAGCCCCTGCCAGCAAGGCACTGGCCCTTCTAGCAACCTTGCCTCTGCCGGCGGCGGAGGCAAAGAAGGTTACTGCCTTCTTGGCAATGCCGGGGCCCCTGATGCATCCTGATACCATGTCAGAGCCATTCGGATTCTGTCGCTCCCTGCCGGGCTCGATCCTGGGCTCGATCATGTCTTTTGTCGCAGAGGAGTCTTGCCTTCGGTGGCAATCGCATCGGTCGAAACTGTTGCTTCCTGCGAATTACGGGCCATATGCCCCCGGGCTGACTGCTTGAGGTTATCTTTAGATGTGGATGAGGGGGCTTTGGCAAACTGTAGCCAAGCACGCCATGTTGACAAGAAATAATTGAATTTCAGCCTTGGTAGACCACAAAGTGGCGTTTTCAAGGAACAATGGGGCCGCAACCTAGGAAACGCATGCTTGCGCCGTGCGAGCTCGTGGTGGGGATTTTCGGGTGCAGGGCCGCAGGGACACATGCAAGCAGTCGCCGGGGCTTGTTCTCCTTCAGGTGACGTGGGGTTTGTAACGTTGTGGCATGTTGTGGCTGGAGCGCCTCGTACCCACGGCAAGCCAGAAGCTCTTCGAGCATCTGCATTGCATTCCGTTTCGCATTGACATATCTGACAGTCTGAGAATTGACAATGTTTGCAGCGGCACGGTGCAGCTGCCGGGCAAGCGTGTTGCGAGTGGAGCAGTCGCAAACAGGCTTTAGGACTTTTAGGTGGAGTCGTCGTGGGACATTTTTGGCGGCAGACCTGTCCGAAAAACTGGCGACCTGTTGAGGGTTGGAAAAGCAGTTGCCGCTTCGTGGGGGAGTTCTGCTCTTGTGCAAAGGCAGCGGGTAGACCAGCAGTCTTTTAGAGTTTGGAAAGGTTTGCAAATTCTGCCAGACTACCCTAACCCTAAACCCGAAACCCTACAGCTCACACCTTAATCCCTCAATCCTCATGCCCGTGTTTCACGAGTGGCGACTACGCTGCCAGCCGAAAACCACCGGCCGAGTGCAGCCTTGTGGGCCTCAGCCTCAAGCACCAGGTATACATCGAGGCAGGCCTCGAACTTCGGTGGCGGCAACGGCATTGGTTCCTGAGGAGGAAAACTAAACACCTTCTTCAGTTTGCTCGTTTGCAAAAACGCAGTTTCGCGCGATTGCTCTTGTGTTCAGTCCGCGCATTCTTGTCAACGCTTGGTCGGTACCAAATCTTCGGCATGCTGATTTTCAACTTTCCAGCACATATCAGCTAGCATCCAGCAGAAGGAGCTTTCTCGACAATGCTAGGAGGGGGGGTGGGCTGAGGGTGCCTAGTGGACTGTTGTGTGGGTTGGGTTGGGGTGAAGGAATCAGCCACTTGGCACGCCAGTGAACTTTCATGTAGTCGTCGAGGAATGTCATGGGCCACGCTGGGGAGCATCCCGCAGCACCTGCAAGGTATCATTCTGACGAAGAAGCTCGGAAGCCTGAGGGCTTGGATGCCTTCGATCTGTCAACTTCCAGCATCAAGGAAATGCTGGATAAACTCCGCGGAAGCCTCGGGAACGAAGTTTGTTTGGATGTCATGCATTCATGCAGTTCAGTCTCGACTTTGTATACATGCCCTGTTGCGCAGACTGCATTCGGCCATGCGAACTCGCCATCCCGTGCCTTTCTTGAACAACCCAAAGCGCGCATGTAGGTGACAAGTTCGCTGATGAGCGCAGTGAGCTCGAGAAGGAGGAGACCAAGCGAAGCCACGTTACTTGTTGCAGCCGGCCTCATGCAGTGCCCGAAGCATGTGCGCCATGTTGACCTGTGTGCAACTGACGTCTCTTTACTTCTGCTACGTTTCTTTAAGGCTCACGACCTCCTGTCCCAGAAGCTGAAAACAATGCAGCGAAGCTGCACTGTGGCTGTTTGTGCCAATCACACAGGAAGGCTCCAGTTTTGTCTGCAAGGCTGACCCAGACGAAGGCATCGCAACAGGAGATGACGCAGAGCAAGGACCCACAATGTACAGCAGCCTGTGTGCCTGAGGGTTTATAGGGGTTAGGTTTTGACTCGGGCAATTTAACAGTTTTGTTTTGGATTTTGAAGTTGGGTCGTACAGGCCACGGCGCTGCAGAGCGCAGCCGCTCAGAAGGCAGAGTTGGAGGACACGGAGGCGGGGGATGGGGCCGTCAATCTTTCTTCTCAGCTCCGATCGACGACGTGGCTGTACTACACCAGAAAGCTCAAAAATAGGCAGTTCCTTTCATCCACTGATTCTTTGCATTACTGAAGCTGCTCTCCAGGCATCACTGGCAGAGCAGCAGAAGTACCTGAAAGAGGTGAAGGCGCGCGGAGAGTGATGCCTTGCCTATTCATATGCTCACCCGAGTCGGTCTTTTGAAGCTGTTTGCCGATTGCTGTGCTCCGCAGATGGGCTCCTGATAATTCAGGGATAGTCCACGGGCAATGGACCCTTCACTGAACTCTTCGCATACCAGGACACTCCTGAATGGTGCTTCATATTCTGCCTTTCCTGCCAGCAGAAGTGGCTCGTGCTCCTCAAAATTCTCGCTCCTCGCAACTCCATTATTTCTTCTGCTCCTGCTGAGTGGCACCGTTCCGGCTGCTGCTGTGGTCAGTCTACTCCAGCGCGATGCTTCTGCCGTTTCCCAGCGGACGCTTGCGCTTCAGGAGGATCGCGCGTCTGCTAAAGATGAGCCGTCACAGGAAGCCGAAACGGCAGAGCTCCTCCGCTTTGTGACGCCTTATGGAGCAGAACTGGAAGCAATTGTCGATATCACTGGCTACACTCAGTTGCTTGAGACGCTCCTAAACATCAGCGGTAAACTCGACTTTTATGCTGCCATTGACACTTGGGTTGGGAACGACACGCGTCGCCAGATAGTCTACGTAAACAACGTGACAGGTGTTTGCACGGCTTTCAATACATCCGATGGGAACGCGTGGAACGTCAGTGTGGACTTAGTGGTGTGGCCGAAGTCTGCCACCACAAGCATCCGCCCAAGAGCAACAGTGATGCTGGCAGAGTCTTTTCCAAAGCCTCTCATTCCAATCGGGAGCATCGCAGCCTCGGAAGGAACACTCAGTGGCACTGACTTAAACCTGACCGAGGTTGCTGACCTGAAAGTGTCAGATGTTTATCCCTGTCCTCATGGCCTCGATGCTTTCAAGAGAAGTGCCAGAAACGGTATGATTGCGCAGATTGCAGAGCAGCAGGTTGTGGCAAGCCGGCGGCATGATGAAGGTTTCCTTCACAATCTTACCAAAACCCTGGAAGAGAACTTCCTGGAGATCTTAGCTCTGGGTGATTTAATCTCTGGATCAGTGAAGCGCGTGATTCGGCATCCATCAACGCTTCTTGAAGTATCGCTGAGCGAACCTGCGGAGATTGTGGAGAACATGCCCATGTTCTTCGCGGACGGTGCAACAGCGACAGACCAGCAGTACTCGTCAACCCTGTGGATGAACATGTCCTTTCCCTTCACTCCTGTGGGATTCGTGCAGAAAGTGATCAACCGCAGTCATTTTCTGGCAAACCTTACGATGCCTTGCTTTGAGAGACTGAACTCCACAACGTTCCCTGGGGTTCAGGTCCCTCGAAGCAAGGACGTGCTCCCAAGTGCCAGAAGCAAGATCCAAGCCCTTCAGCAGCGTGGCGTCGCTTCGGGGCAGGTGCTGCTGAAGAAGGGCGAGCTGCCCAAAGCCAGCTTGAGGATCTTGGGTTTCCAGGGGCCAAGCGTGGAGGAGCACTTCCCAATCGCTCGTGTGGACATTGATTCCGGGAGCAACTTGCCTCGATCCTTGGCAAGAGCACAGTCGCAGCCAGTCTGCGTGGTGCACGAAACGGATTCTGGACCTGTCTTCACGAGGCCTTTCTCGAGCAAGCTGTCACCCGGTGAGCGTGCCATTCTGCACCTGACAGTGACGGGACATGGCTGGGCAGCTACCTCGGAGCAGTGTGGTGAGTATTGCCATGCTGTGTACAACCTCCAGCTCAACGGCAAAAGCTTTGCGAACGTCACCCAATGGCGCGATGACTGTTACTTGAATCCCATAGGACCCTCGCAGCACGGGACTTGGTTCGAGAGCCGGAACGGCTGGTGTCCTGGCAGTGTGGAGCCTGGGATTTTCATTGACATCAGCGATCACCTGGATACTAATGCTGCTGTGAATACTTTCAAGCTGGAACTGTCAGTTTGGCTAAATGCCACCCGCCGTTACAATCGTTACACGGACTTCAACGGCTTCATCCAAGGGGACACTGCAATGTTGGCTGTGACAACGCATGTGCTTATTTATGGCAAGGAGGCGGTGGATGCTGCTTTGGCAGCCCCACGTGCTTCATCGAAGGCTGAAGCAGCCATTCGCCAGGGTTGCAGTGATCCTGGTGCCCTCAGGCCTCCAGCTGTTGTCAAGGACCTCCCGGAAGGATTTGTGAGCTCAAGTCGTGCCAGAAGCCAACAGCAATCAGTGACCTTTGGCCCCGTCGTGCAACAGGTGCCTTTCGACTTTGAGGCCCGGGCACCCTGGTATTTCTACAACGCAACGAAGGAGGTGCTCCCGGGCCTCCCTGTGGGCGCAACCTACTTGCCAGTCTTTCCCGGCAGGTTGGTGCAGTCAAACACCCGTACGGTCTACAGCAACGTGCTCAGCGGCCACCTGCCGGTGGACCTGTCACAGCGACAGGTGGCCCTGCGGTTCCGCCTGCTGAAGCCAAGCCACCTTGAGGTGGATCACTGGGACCGGGTTGGCAGCCTGGGAGTGCTGGTCCCGAAGGGCCTACCACCACAGGTTGAGATGAAAGTGCAAGAGCCACTGCAGGCCAAGCAGTACAAGTATTGGCAGGTCTCCAGGTGATGAACATGGCAACAGCCAGAAGTTGTCCCATCTGACCGGATCTGCTTTCAAAACGGCGGATGCCCCAAAAAAGCAGAAGGGTGGGGGGAGGGGGCGGGGGGGGGTGGGGGTATGCTGCAGGATGTTTGGACCAGACCCGACTCGACCCTTGCCTCGCCAACTGCAGGCTTCCCACTCGTGACCTCCTACCCTTTATACCCTCCCCTGCCTTTCATGCCTTTACGCATGCTGTGCTTCGAAGAGGCCAGCTGCGAGCAAAAGGCGGAGGACTTCGCAGAGCGAAGCAAGCTCCGCGAGGGTGAGCTGGTCGCCATCAGCAAGGCAGGGTCCTTGGGCCATTGTTGTGACTGTGTCTGAACATGGGTATGACATGGGTCCCGAGGCTATAGAATTGCTGTCCTTCAAGGAGGTCAGCTTGACACAAACCCGGCTGCAGTTCAAGGCACATGATGGGAGAGCCTGTCCGTTTCAGCATTTCGCAGACACCTTCTGCGTAGTCTACCGTCTCTCTTTCAGTTTCATCATCATCAGTAGTATCGTCGCCACTTGCACCAAACAGTTCCCTCCCCTCAAGTCTGAGCTCCAAAGTTGAGGCTGGCACCGCGCTGGTGTCACTGCGACTCGCGCCAGAGGGCGAGGCTGGCGCGGTGGGGTTCTGGTTTCACAAGGCTTGGGATTTGCTGGGTTTCTACCGGAGGAACTGGGGTGGTCTTGTGACCCAAGGCACGAGAAGTTGGGGTGTCGGTGTAGAGTGCTTTTTGGTCCGGCTCTGTCCCACCTTCGGTCGTTCAGCTTTCACCGGAAGAGGCTCTTTGGAGGAGGTTTATGGACAATTTCTCCCTGTCCGGCATCTCGTTGACAGGCCCGAGCAGCAAAGTACCTCCAGAAACAGGCTGTGAAGTTCAACAGTGCCAGCCTTGGACAGTGCTGCAGGATGTCAACTGCAAAGAAACCTTATTGCTGGCATTTTTCATGTCGGGCAATGGTTCAGCGCACATCGAAGATCGACTGGTGACCATTCATAATCTGGAACGCAAACAGGTAAGGGGAAGGGGAGGAGAGGGAAGGTGGAGAGAAGTGGAGATGTTCAGCATTCGCTTCATGTGCAGTACACTGTGCATCAGTTGACAAAAATGATGCCCACCGTTGCCCGCCTGTACTTCCTTCTCTCGCCACACGTGTGCACCAGGCCGCATCCTGTCTTCGCTCGCTGCTCGCATTGGCCCCGCGCCCGCAAGATGAGCTGAGAAGCGACCTTTGCACTGAATATTAGTCGTGCTTTATTCAAAGCGTTGTGCGAAATCAGAACGATCTCTGAGGGCAGGCGGCAGATCCCATGGAAAAAGTCCGCGGCATGGTGGAAAAGTTGATCACCAAGCTGGAGGATTGTCTGGGATTCTACTCGGCAAGGAAAGTAGCTGTAGTGTGAAGGCCATGAGATCATTGCGTGGCAATACTCAAAGCAGTTTCTTGCAGGAGGAATCGAGCCAGGACATGGAACATAGGGAATGGTGCGACAAAGAAATGGGCCAGAACGAGAAGGCGCGCACATCGCATGAGGCCGAGGTCGACGACACGGAGGCCAAGGTTGAGTCCGCCCAGAGTGCAGTTGCAAAGCTGGCAGCCGAAATAGCGGAGCTCGTGAGCCAGCTTGCCGAAAACAAGGAGAGCCTGGCCAACCAGACAAAGGCTCGCGAGGCCGAGCAAGCCGAGAACGACAAGACGATCACCGACGCCAGGGAGGCCAACAAGGCTGTCGCCGAGTCGATTGCGGTTCTCCGGGAGTACTACGCGAGCATGAAGAAGCCTTCATTCGTCCAGACTGCCACCAAGCTTCGAGAGGCACCAAAGGTTTTTGATGGTGCATACACAGGCCAGGGCAGCGACAGCGTGATTGCCATGCTCGAGGCGGGACCAGACGTTCGGGGCATGCAGCAGCTTTTGCTGCGGAGTTGGGTCGGAGTCCTCTTTCGGCTATGCATCGCTTTTTATCACAGCAAACAAATGTGTTCAAGTTCGAACAGGTCATCCACGGTCTCTCTGGAAAGGTCCCCTGTGTTAAGTGAAAGGTTGGTTGCCTCATGCCCTGCAGGTGGTCCAGTCTGACTATTCCAAGCTGGAGAGCACCACAAAAGCTCAAGAGTCGTCCGCAAAGAAGGACTTTGCAGACCTCAAGTCCGAAATGGCGATCTTGAAGGCAGATCAGCTTCGATTCGCTCATGCCCTGACATTGCTCGAGAATGCTCTAAAGCCCACCGCTTGTGTTAACGGGGAGCCCAGCTCAGAAGTCAAGGTGACACTTTTGCATGTCGTCGCGTGGCACCAGGTCCAGCAGGAGAAAGACTTGGAGCACAAGAAGCTCCAGAAGGGTGAGAAGGAGATGGGACCATGGGACCATGGGCCCGAGCGGCTATATTCTGCTCAGAGATGTTGAAATCCAGGGAACCTACCAGCTGCGGTGCTTTGGTCATATCTGGGTTGCAGGAGCAGCTGATAGTCAGCCTCACCTCCGACCTGTCCGGGGCCCGGGAGTAACCAAACTCTTCTGCCTGCCGATGCTGGAAGGTGGCAACTGCTTCTTCCTCTTCACTCAACTTGTGTAGCAGCGTCGCATCACCCAAGCAGCCCCCTTAGGAGATGAATTGGGGCCGACAAGCGAACGACACAAACAAGCCAATCATGTGTGCCTTCGAAGGGCCTTCGAGCTTCGAAACCTCAAGCTTGCGACTTTCGAGTGGATTCAGACGAGTCAGTGACAAGTCCTGCGCGCTTTCTTCGGCCGAGGTCAAACTCCAAGAAGGAGCTTCAGGCGGCCGAGGAGTACTATGAGCAGCTCAAGGCCGCCCCAAATCTTCCCAAATCCACTCCTTTGACATGAGCTCGGACATAGAAGAACATGGTTCATGTACGTCGACGTTCGAGCGGTTGCAAAAGGTTGCGCACGTCAGGACTCCTGCCTGGCGACGGGCTCCACGGCCCAGGAGCGCAACGCGCGACGGCAGGAGGAGATCGAATCCCTGAAAGAGGCACGCGAGTAAGGGCGTAGCCCCAAGGGGGCTCGGGGGAGATGCGCCCTGCGCTTTGCCAGGCCGTCGACCTACTTGAGTGAGGGCTAGACCCAGGTCTCAGGTTGTCATGCCTTGCCCAGGGACCAAGGTATTATTCTGAATATTCCTTCAGTCTATACCCAATATCGCTAGCTCAACAGTGAAAGGGCTGACCCCTCAGCGGTCCATCCACGCCTGCAATCGCGCGGAATGAGGACACGCTCACCAGAGCGTCAAAAAAATGCGGCTGCATTTTCCCACTTGTCCTGTGCTTCTCCAAGGTCATGCTCTGAATTTCAGGGTCCATAAATCTGTTGCATTCGCCCTTGAATTCGAAGGCTCCTTTGCACGATGCCTTTACCAGCTGGGGTGCGGGCCTCGGCCATAGCGTGAAGTGAGGGGGATCTGCATCGCCCATGCTATGGTGAAGGTTATCCGTTTGAGAAGCGGAAGAAGACGGGATTCGCCGCCAAAGCAAACCTCGTGTCTGATGCGACAAGCTACCTGTGGTCCATGCCTGAGCATGTGCAGAACTGGAAAGTCGGGCTGTCTTTGTGCGACCTGCGATCTCGATCTGCGATGCCGAGGCGCTACCATGCCCTTCCTCCTGCTGTGGAGCTCGCTGCCTTATGTCGAATAAATAGCATTAGCATATTACATACTACATATCGCACCATGCAAATATATGTTACACTGTACGTATGTATGTATGTATGTATGTATGTATGTATGTATGTATGTATGTATGTATGTATGTATGTATATATGTATATGTATATGGCTTCTTAACAAGGGGAGTTCGAGGGCTTGCCGTGGCCAGGCCTGTGGTCCTCACCTGACCCCGGGTGGGGTCTCCATCTGTTCCGAAGCGAGCGTCGAGGGAAGGCGCCTGAGTGCTCTCATGGGATGCGATGTTTGCCCTCCTGTTTTCTTGCTGGGATTCCATTTGTTGTTGGGAGTGTTTCCGTAGGCTCCGATGCGCCGGGGGCCCCAAGTCGGTGTTTGGATTTTTTGGGAGCTGCTTTTGTTTCGGCTGCTTTTGGCTGATGCTTTTGCTGAGAGGAGGTCCAGTGCCTTGGCAATCGGACTGTTGCGGACACCTTGCGGTTGCGTCCTCGGAGTTTGATGGCGATTCTCTCATCACTCCTAGACAGGACCCTAGTAGGGCCTTTTGGCCCCGGCAGGTGCGGTCACCATGGTGCCTGGGTGGGGCAGCTTCATTGCCTAGAGGAGGTGGGGGAGCTGGCGTCGAATCTGCTGCACTCAGTCAATGCTTGTCGGGTGCTAAACCGAAGCTGCCTGGCACTTGGTAGGATGATTCGCTGCCAACTCTCTGGGCACCCGTGCCACGTTGGCAAATTAAAAGAGTTCCCATGCATCCAGCTGAGCTGCACATCGCAAGCTGCTCTGCTTGCGCCCAGGATGGGCCACGACCACCTCTGGTGATAGACCGAACGGCCTCGTGACTTCCTAACCTCATCACTTCCCTGCGTGAAAATGCCCAAATGCACTCGAAGCAGCGGCTTGGATGAGTCTAGTATGGAAAAAGGATGAGCTGAATATCTGTCCAGTCTTGCATGAGGGGTCGCATCCTTCTCATCCTCTGCATGCAGAGCATGACAGGTCACGTTGTTTCAGAATGGCATCTGCACATTCTCGGAAATCATTCTCGCACGCAGGCTTGGCGGCAGTACCATTGCCTCTGTGCCCCACAGCGTGATGCCCGAGAAGCCGAGGAAAGCCAGAAGGACTGGACACCCAGATTGGTAGTGTTGGACCATGTTGGACCTTTGCTCGACCATGCTGGCCAATGCTGATCCTGCGGGCAGGATGACGGGCTTGACGCTGATGGCGAAGGACTGGGTGGCGGGCAGGGAGGGGATCATGTCATCAGGAGGTCATCTTTGAATAATGAGGCTTGGGAGGTCCGGACCCACAGCAGATTTCTGGCTTTGTAGTTTTTCCATAGGTTTCAATCTGGTTTCAAACGCACAACCGACTGTCGGCGCCTTTTGACACCGCCTTGGCTTGGTCTTCGGTTTCCTAGGGCGGTTTGCATGTCAAGCATGCAGGAGCAGCGCCTCGGTGTAGCACAGGCCCACCTGCCTCGAGCTACACGGTTTGGAGCAGCCATCCTCTAGGAAACTTCGATGGACTTGGGTTGTCTGAGAAGCCTCCCGGGTCAAGTTTCCTCGCTTCTTTGCTGAGCAGGCTGCGGCAGCCTGGAAGGCTCTCAGCGACTCGGAGAGGGAACAGTGGAATGCACAGGTGCGGCATCCCAACGAAGGCAGTACGACTCGAGGTAGGAGCTATATAAATTATATTATATTAGTTATATTATATTATATTGTATAAAAATTATATTATATTATATTAAATTAAATTACATTATATTCTATTATATATATACATATATATATATGTACATTGAACAGATGACCCCCGGCTGCTGCAGGCCCGGGCGTTGTCTGTCCAGCCTGACAACGCAGATGTGGGGACCCGAATGTGGATTCAACTTGCGGGCTTGGATGGCTTTCACGTGCGATGTTTAGCGCAATCAATGCTTCATGATTGAGTCCGCCTTCGTTCAAACCATAGCTACGCGTTTTTTCCTCACCTGGTGCAATGCGTGATATTGTGGCACATCCCATCATTTTGCCAAAGCTTGTCTTGTAGGCTCATCCACATGCGCCCGCTGGACGGCAAAAAAGGGGTTGCAGTCTCAGTGAACTGCGTTCGAGTCACTTGTGCACGACGGGTGAAGTTGCAGGCAACCATGCAGATGATGACGACTCCGACAATGCGGAAGCTGCAGAGGAGGATGACAGGACGGCAGACTGCTCGCGTGCTTTGCGAGCCAGGCGATCAAACCTGTGTGCACAGGCCTCGCTGCAGCTCAAGTGTCGAGACAAAGCCGGGTAACAGAAGCAGCGGCTCAGACGCACCGTGATACAGAGGTGTTTGCGACGCTGCTTGCAGGTGTTGTTGCTGCTCAAATTTTCTGAACGACGGAGTCCAAGCAGTCAAACACCGAAATGCTCACCAAGCAAACTGCGGGCCTTTAACAGTTGGCGTGAATCCACATGAATGGGAAAGGGTGGACGGTGGACTGCCGACAAAGCTAACAGACATGATGCCTAAGCCCTAAGCAGTCGGCAGGTGATGAAGCCGCCACAAATGTAGATGGGGTCTTGAGGGGCCAATTGGAGTCCTGAAGGGCTTAAGCAAGAACCGCCAAAGCGACTTAACCGACGCCAAGAGGAAGCTTGGGCACGATTCTCTGTGAGGTACTATGCTCGGTCAGCTTGCAAAGCTGGTGTCCCGAGTCACCACCAGAGGCATTGCCATTACTGCGTGATTAACATTGACATCCGTACCCTGCAAGAGCACACCCTGTAGGTCCAGAGGAGGCCATGCAAGACGCTTACGAGAAGGCCTGTCTTAGTCCCATGTCCGGTGGATTGTCTTTACAGTCCTGAAAGCAGCATTCATTGCGGTACTCCTCAAACCAGGCCGACGCGGAAGATGACGACGAGGACCTGCATGCGTGTGCATGGATGCAGTGTGGCGCGGGCAGAGTGTAAGGTTTAAGCATGTTTAAGCTTTACAGAGGTTAAGATCGCCCAGAGACCAATGATGCGGACGTACGGGGACAGGCAGATATGGACGATGTGCGCAGCAATGTGCCGACAGAGGCCTTGACTTCTTCTTGTCCACCGGCAAGCTCGCTCCGACGGCTGCTGCATGTGTGTCGCATGTATGTCGCATGTGCCACAGGCGTCACCACCCGCATCACCACGAGCCGCCAAAACTGGTGAGGTCTCTGCCAGCCTGCAGCAATTCCTCGAGTCTCTGCCTTAAAGCTCGCTGAGGACGAAGGCCCCTTTGCTCGGTCTCGGCCTGCCAAGGGCCCACAGCGTTCTCATCATCAACGAGAAGGGATTCGGCAAGAGGGCAGACAGCCCAGCATGTGATCTTTTTCCAGCCACATCACAAATGGAATGTGGGTGTTCTCACTCTTCTCAGCTTGTGGCTGCTCAATCTTGGAAACATGCGCCGATGTCTTCCAAATCCCAAGGCCCTTCCTGCTTTTGGCATGCAGTCGGTACCGTACCGAGGTCCGCCTGTCTGATGTCAAGCTTAGCAACCGCAACGCTGTTGGCCAGAAGTTGAGGCTGCAGGCGCGCGTCGTCGTGGGTCCTGCGAAAGCAGATGTTCATGTCAATGTGCTCATCCCTATAAAATCAAGCCTGCGCACAAGGTCCTAATCGCCCTGACCACCAAACGTGAAAGACCCCTTCCACTAAACCCGAAAAAGCCCAGGCCTCTCTCAACTGTGAGAACCTTGAGCCCTGCATGCCCCGAACCCCCAAAACCGCGACGACCCCTATGTGCCCGTCCCTGAAACCCAGCTGGCGAGCTCTTTCGCCAAGATGCCAGAGTTTCGAGAGGGGTTCTAGGATTCCAGAGCTTTTTTTTGGGGCAGTTCAAGCGCCATGTGAAAGTCCTTCAATCACATTTTTATCCCGTCAGGAAGAATCGGATGTGGCGGCCATCTGCGTTGTCCCCAGCGATGTGCTCCCCCAACTGCCTCCCAGACCTCGGGATGCACCGACCCTGTACAAGGACTGAGCTCTGGGCGCCGAGCCCGGAACCCGCTCTGAGCTGTCCCGTGCCAGGACTCCTTGGCCAAAGCGCGAGCAGAGGCAATACAGGCAGCAGCAGCGAGAGGGGAGGAGGTGGAGGATGAACCGGCCGAGGCCCCGGGTTTTGCAGGGATCTTGCCCCGATTTTCGGAATTCGGAAGTAGGAGGTTGGCCAACAAAAAAGAAGAGGCACAGATCGCAGGTGCCCTTCGACTGCCTCAGTGAAACGGCCCAGAAAGACTTTGTCGACCAACAACAGCGGGACGAGGAGGCCTTCAAGGCGGGGTTCCGCTTTCAATGGAGCTTCAAAATTAGGGGCCCCTAGTCGGGTGTATACTGTATATCTGTGTACACGTTAGATCCGGGTTTTAGGGGTGTTAGGGTTGTAGCTGCCGTTGGCAATGCTGCATCGCCCAAGGCGGCGCGGGAAGCGCGCCAGGAGGCCGAGAAGGTGCTGAGGCCGAAGCTGGGGGCGGTGCTCCTCTGCACCTCAGGCGGCGAGTCTGATGTCCTCACTGGCCCCTTGTACCCCACTCTCTCCCCGTGCACCCCGCTTTCTGTTTCTGTGGGCGCCCTCGTGCATAATGTCGGGGAAAGCCAGCGAGTCACATCGCAGAGGTGGCTTGGTGCTTCGCCTCCACATCCTGCACGTTCGGGTGATGAAGCGCCGGCAGAAAGCGACCTGCCTGATGAAGGTGCCACGCTGCTTGGATTGATATGGAACCCTAGAACCCCAGAAAACCCTATAAACCTTACCCTATAAAACCTAAAAACCCCATAAACCCTTTAAACCTTATGAACCCTATAAATCCGAAGAAGCCGCAGTTTAAAACCAAAACATCCTGAAAACCTTGAACTCGTTCTGATGAACTCAGGTTCTGACAAGCTGATTTCGGCCTCCCTGCTGTCTGCAGTCGACTCTTGACTCAGAAGACGCATTCATGTGAACGAAGCTCTCCACTCATGCATGAACATATGGTGGACACTTCAAACTTCAAAGAGATTCCAATCTTCGTTGTGCAGATCAGTGTATACTTTTACAAGACCACCCCAGTACTGACATGACATGAACACTCGCACATGTCGCAATTGCATTTGCTGTCGTCTCCTATGATCTCCTATGATTGCGGCGCTGAGACAAGCATCAGTGCAAGTGCATGTGAGATGCCGTGTATGTTTCTCATTGTTCTGTTCTATTTTTTTGGTTTTGCCACAAAACGCCCCCCATCCCCCAGCTTAAGCAAGTGCGGCCGGCCCGCACGCCTTTCATTTCCACTGCCAAAACACCCCCCCCCCCAGCTCTTAAACAAGCGCGGGCTGCCGGCCCGCACGCCTTTCATTTCCACTGCCACAAAACGCCCCCCGCCCAGCTCTTAAGCAAGCGCGGGCTGTTGGCCCGCACGCCTTCATTTCCACTGCCACAGTGCGGCCGGCCCGCACGCCTTTCATTTCCACTGCCCCCCCCCAGCTCTTAAGCAAGCGCGGGCTGCCGGCCCGCACGCCTTTCATTTCCACTGCCACACAAGGAATAAATCATACACGCATGTCAACAAAAACAAGGGCCCTAAACCCTAAATCCCGAAAACCCCGAAGCCCTACTCTTGACCCCGAAGGCCAACCCAGAACCGCCAAAACCCTAAAACCCTTCAACACACCCCAAGTAACCCAGAAACAACACACCAAAACAAAGGCAAGACCACGTGTGAGAATGTGACATGTGTCAGGTGTGTTGGCAGGACTCGACATAATTCGACATAGGCATGCACTTGCAAGGACCACGAAAGGGATGACGCTGCGATCGGCGAAGAGCAGGAGGAAGCTGCTCCGCAAGAGGCGGAGGAGGACGAGGCAGATGAGGATGACGACGAGGAGAACGACGCTTGGACAGAACAGATGGGTTGCGTCATGTTGCGTCTCTCATGTCCATGTCTAGGGCTAGGCTGTCTAAGCTTGTGGAAGGGATGCCTTTTTATGCGCATCGGAGGAGTAGTGGAGCGGCGTGAAGCAGCAGAATCGCGCATCGGGGCATCCCCAGATGCACCTCGTCGACTCGTACTGACTTGCTCGGGGAAGGCGGCGCTGCCGCCCCGTGCCACCGTGCCCACGAAATGTGGTCGCTGGATTGATTCAAAGCTGCTTGCGCCAGGGTACTGGCACTCTTGAGAGTGCTGCGGGTAGGGAGTCTTCGCCACCACTGACCTCGCGTGCCGACTTGGGGGTCCGTGCGAGTAGAAGATTCCTGGGGTTTCAGCCGAGAGTGTTGAAGTTGCGCCAGCCAGCCAAAAAAGAAGCCGACCTGCCCCAGCATCGTTTGTCAGATTTCCAGCTTCAGTTGTCGTGCATGTCATCCTACATCTTGAACCCGCAAACCATCATTGGACATCTACACGATTCATCCTGAGTATGATATGGCCATTCAGCGTTTAATGTCGGCGTAGATATTCTACATGGCTGAACATGGATTATCGAAGCATTGACCGTCGGATCCTTCTTGGCTCAGGGAGGAATTTGCCACGCAACATGCTGGGCTCGCCATTCCGCCACAGACACCAGGACCGCAGGAGGCCAGGCGCAGACTTGATGAGAAGACTCTTGATCCCTGAAGGCCCTGAACCTTGGTATCAAGCGGGTGTCCAGCGTGTAAGTGACGAGACGAGGTGTCCCAGCATCTCCATTGGGACTGGTTGGGCGCTGACTGGACCAGGTGCTGTTGCTTCATGTTGCTGCTTCCACCTTCGTCTTACCAAGTACTTTTGATTCTTTTGATGCTGTGCATCATGTCGTGTTGCATCTGGCAGGAAAGCATGCCTGCTCTTGCATGGACGAGGCTTGACACGATGATGCAATGGTGGATGATGGTGCTTCGTTTCTTGCGTGGCTCTTCTCCCCCGGGCAAAGGCTGAAGAATTCCGGATCGGTGACGGTGTCGCCTCGTGCTGGGCACACGATCACGCCCACCGCTGTGGGATTTCTTCTGCCGGGTCCTGAGGGATCCCAAGATATCCCAAGATGCTCCAAGGGTCCCTGACCTCTTGTCTTGGCATCCATGACAAGCTTGACAAGTGCAAGCAATACCTAAGGTATGGCGGCATGGACGGACGAAGGAATGATCAGGGTAACCCAGCCCCAAACAGCGACTTGTACGTGCCGTGCTTGGTTGCTGCGCTGCTACACCCCCAGTGCCCTTTTGAGTTCTCCAGTTACCCCTAAACCCTATGCCCTAAACCCCAAACCCTAAACCCTATGCGGCCAAGTTGCTGAAGCCTGGACAGCCTGGGCAAGCCTCCTATCACTGGGAGGCAAGTGTTTTTTTTTTGTGGCCAGAGGCCCTACGATAATTGCCCGAACTTCCCTATGGGGGTTTCCGAAATTAGGGGGTACCTTGGTTCTGATTATTCAGGGAATCCTACGATTTTGGGGACTATACCCTAAACCCTAAACCCTACACCCTAAACCTATGAGGGGTCCCCTTAGTTTCGTAAGCCCCTCCCCCATGTTGAGAGCAGGTGGTGGAGATCGACCCTGGGTCGCAGTTGCCGCCAGTACGTACCTTGCACACCGCACCTCACTCAGCACTGGTTTGGGGGTTTAGGGTTTAGGGGTTTAGGGGTTTAGGGGTTTAGGGTTTAGGGTTTAGGGTTTAGGGGGCAAGCTCTGCCCGCTGCAGGCCATTTCCATCAGCCAGGATGAGGTGTTTCTTTTCGGAGGCATCCACTCCACAACGCCCTACCAGGCCGGGTGCAGCTGAAGTTGTCGCTTCAAATTTGAAGAAGATATTGGGCCCCTCTGTAGGGGCCTAGTTTTGCTAGAATGCTTGAATGCTTGTTCGGGATTGAACACGTTGTGTCGATTGAACCATGAATTAGGGTGCATGGGTTGAGCTTATTCAGCTTCGTCGGTTTTTGTTTCTGTTCGGCACTGCATCGAGCGCCTTGTAAGGTTGGCTTTTGGTTTTGGGGCTTAGGTCCTAAAGTTGCTTGAGTTCAGAGATCAGCATTGAGGGGATGTTTCGGAGGGTGCGTGCCAGCTGCACTGTGACCTCGGCAAGCGTGACCTGGCTCAAGTGCGTCACACTCATATGACGTGGCCCTTACTACGCGCCCGGGGCCTTGAGCTGATCGCACAGAAGCTGCAGGACCTTACTCTGAACAGGAGTGAACCGGATGGCTGTAAGGGCAAGTATCTCTACCAATGGCTGAAAGGGCAAGTGTCTCTGCCCAGGCCAGTCGTCGGCACAAAGATGGTCGATATCTCTTTGCAGGTTGGTGCAGCTACCGAACCTACTAAACGTGAGAACATGAATATGGGACGTCTGCAGTGAGTGGCCAGGAAAACTCATACATGCCCCTTAGCCTCGTGCGTGCTCCAGGCTGTGGATGGCGATTCTCTACCTAAGGACTGGGCACGTGTACCATCTTGCACCGCTGTAAAGACACGATGTTGGGAGAAAAGTGCAGGATCTTTACCTGTCCCTTAGGGTGGGGGAGCAGCAGAAGTTCTCGAAGGCTCCGATCTTCGCATCTTTGCGCCCTTTTTTTCGCCTGTGTTTTCCCCCCTCAGTGAAGTTCAACTCAGAGAGAGTGGGGCCGAACATGCCGACAGGCGAACTGTGCACGAACCTACAAGTTCTCATCATCTCCTGAGCGGCGCTACGTGGCGGACTCGGATGAGCGAATCAGAAGGCGGTTAGTTGGGGCTGAGCAGGGGTTACACCATGTTAAACCTCTCAGGGCAAGATAGAGCTGTACCGCCGCGTGGGCGCGGCCGCCTCAGATGCTGTCAACGGTTCCGAAAGCAGAGCTCAAAGTCATGTCGATGCAGGTTTCAACTGTAAGCCTTGATGGCGAGCACTTCCAGGCAGATTCGGAAGCTGCAGGGTGAGAGGTGTAAGATGGGTGTACAGTGGTAAAGAGTATAGACAGCTTCGCCGAGGGCGCTCACGAGCTGGCCATCCAAGTGGAGGAGCCATCCCCGGGAGTCCCAGATTTGGTAATGATTGATTTCTTGCATCGATTGCGTCCTTTTCATATTTTCTTCAAGACTCCCATGTCACAGTGACGAGGATGAGCGGATGCAGAATAAGGAGGCGCCCCCATGGAAGCCTGACAGACCCTGGTGTTGCAGTTGAAGCAGCAATGCAGTGGATGTAGTTTGGTTCGTCTGCCTTTCTCAACTGCAGAAAGGTTCGATATCACTTCTGCTTGGGTGGTGCTGGAAGCCTCCCTGCACCCACAGTCACTAACGAGGCACAGAAGACGGCTGTCTTATTGTTGCTGCTGACGATTTCTTGTCTCATCACATCTTGGATTTACTGCCTGCCTTTGTATACGCTAATTGCCTGCTTCGATGTATTTCGATGCAGCACTTTTCCGTAGGTGGCCCAGTCCGACTCCGCCAAACAGTCATCGGCGAATCCGAAACAGTCATCGGAGAAGGCGCACAGTGCCGCGTTCATGTCAATCGAGCGCAAGCGGAATCACCTTGCTGCGGAAGCTGCTGTGTGCTCGCTTGAGGTCTTGCAGGCCCGTGAGTATCTCCAGCACCACCAGCCTGTGCCTCACGCTCCGAATGCCACGGCTACCTTGCGTACCTGCAATCCGGACTCGAGCCGTCGCAAAAGTGATGCTGCTTGAAGGGGTACGACGAGCTCACTGCTCTGACTGTGAAGGCAGGGCCCCTGCATGCTTTGAGAGTCGCGTGAGGCTGGAGCAGCGCCTGTCGGACGCGATGCAGGCTGCTGGGAGCCCAGCCATATTCGGTGCCTCTGCAAGCGTCCCTGCAAGTGTCGTCGGCCGCGGAGTTCGCCGTGTTACTGTAGGGTTGACCGCTCCGTCGGAGAGATCAATAGTGCTGACCGAGGTTCTGCGAGAGCGGCCGGAGGACCAAATGCCATGGATTCCTCTGTGCCCGAGTTCAGAAAGCACAAGACAGGACCCTGCAGCGTTCATCGCGAAGAAGCTCCAGACGAAATCTGGAGTCCTGAAGAAGGCAAGGCTGTGAGCCACAGGGTGATCTTATCCGGGTCTAGCGATGTTCATTTCAGGTGGAGGAGCCGAAGCCTGAACAGGCAAAGCCAGAGCCCGTGAAAGCGGTGCCGCAGCCTAGTGCAGAAAAAGTTCCGGCAAAGCCAGAACCCCCAGCACCCCCGGCGGCTCCCGTCAAAAGTCCTGTCAGTGCAAGAAGCGCCGTGGCAAGAGACCCCCCTGCACAGGCCAGCTGCTCTTTCCCCCTGCTCCCCTCTGTGGCGACATGGCTCGCCGCAAAGCCCTATCGCATCCTTGCAGAAAGCCCGACGGCAAGCCCGGCGGCAAGCCCGGCGGCAAACCCGGAGCCGTTCGCCCAGCTCCCGTCTGTGGCCACATGGCTTGCTGCAAAGCCCTATCCTGTTTTTGAAGACGCCCCCGTGGCAAATCCAAAGCCACCTGCTGCCCCAACCAAAGCCCAGATCCCCTCTGCGGCGGCAAATCCAGTGCCAGCTGCTCCCCCAACCAAAGAATCGTCCACTCAGCCCCCCGCTGCGGCGGCAAAGCCAGTGCCACCCCCTGCTGCCCCAACCAAAGGTTCTTTCGCCAAGCTGCCCTCCGTGGCCACATGGCTTGTTGCAAAGCCCGCTCCCCTCTTTGCAGCCAACCCGATGCCCATAATGCCCCCCACCCACCCAGCCAAATCTTCATTCGCCCAACTCCCCTCTGTGGGCACATGGCTGGCAACAAACCTGAAGTAGGCTGTGGCAGCGGCAGCTGAGCCACGGGCGCAGCTGGAGGTGAGAATTCAGATTTCAACTTTCCATGCCTGCTTCTGGCTGTCTGTCCGCCACTTCGCAGCAGTTTGCGCAACATGACGCCTCACTGACCTGCGTGCAGTTTCAGCGAAAACCAAGGTTGCCTGACAACAGCTCTCCAGCCGGCGCCCAAGAGAACTCGAACCGGAGCTTAAATGGGAAGCAGTTGTATGCAGCTGTGGTGAGCCACCATCAGTGCCATTGTCGAGAGATCCCGATCGTGAAAAGGAAGAGTCCACCAACAGCCCCGTGAGCTATACCCATGATGAGATCACGTCCCCTTGATCTGCCCTATAAGCACTTTCATAGCAAGCTGCTGAAGTCTGCTGAAGAGTGTGCAGGACACTTTGCTCATCTACCGTCATCCAGACATCCCCGACAATTCCGGAGATGCTGACGCCAATATCCCCCAAGACTCCCAATACCATCGTGTCCATTCCTGTTCCTTCGTTTAGGGGGCCCAGAGCAAGATGTGGCCGCTGCAGGTGATCTCGCAAACAGTGCGAACTCTGAGGCTCCCCACAGGAGCTCTCCGCACCTTTTCACACTGCACCCAGTGGCAGTCTTGGTGAAGCACACCGGGCCATGCTACAGCGGTGCTTCGCAGAAGTCAAGAGTTTCCTTCCCAGCTGGAGCCGTCAGCCTGGGAAAGAGGTGGGGAGCTTGTGGCAGGATTGAGTTGCTCCCTTTGTGGCCGCTTGTTGATTTGTAGATTCTTTTCAGTAGGTTGGGCCTTGAAGCACAGCCTTAAGTGTATCGAAAACTGGCGTACCAAAAGAGCCCGTGAAGCGTCTGTGCTTCAGCCTGTCAAGCAATGCCCTTGATGCGCTTCCTGCAAAGCAGATTGGCGCCTGGAGCTCGTGGCAGCAAAAGCATTGGTGTGTTGGGACATGTTGGGACCACATCCGCAGATCCCCAAGTTGCAAGTCATGCCAGTCTCTTTGAGATGAAGGTGCTGAATGATGGTTGGATCCTGGACACGACTTGCTATGAATGGAAGCACGTGCAGTTCAAGACACAATCCCAGGAGCTGAAGGCCAGATGTCCGGCATGTAAAGGACCCCTCCAAGCACCACCACAGAACCCACACGTTTATCTGCGAGATTCTGCCAGGGCTCCTACTGGAAGCGTATGTGCGGGAAAATCTTGGAGCATCCCTACGTCGCGGCACAGGCAGAGCTCCTCGTGGCGTCTGGCATGTTTGCGTACTGCAGGGGGGGGGGGGGGGGGCGCATGTCGGGGTGTCTGAGTTTCAGCCGAAGACTCCGGTGCCTCGCGCCTCGTGCCAGGCCGGACCCCGACGAAACTCCACCGGGGGCAGGCGTCCAGTCTGATGTCTATAGGTGCTGCTAGTGGGTACAGCAGGATGGATTGGGTGTCTATGAGAACAAAAAATGGAGAGCACAGGAGTGAGATGGCAGTAGGCTGAGCCTTTTCGAGATTCTCAGGAGGCTCAGTGCCGTGGCCCAGACGGCTCGGTCGGCCGTCAGCGGCCTGAACTTCGAAACTCTGGCAGTGGCTGCCTCGAAGGCCGGGCTGTCCAAACCGACACCTTGACACATCAGGCATTATCAGGCGTCGATAGCTGATGCTAAAACCCTGCAAAGCGATGGGAACGCTCGAAAAGTGACACCCCTCATGTTGCGTCCATTAGCACCGCCAGCCGTGATACACCTTCTTTTCCAAGTTTGCATGGCCTTTCATTGCATCTGCATGATCTCAATGGTTTTGTCGTTGTCAGCATGATCTGCATCTTCAGGCCCATGGATCCACCGCCATAACCACCACCAGCACCACCACCAGCACCAGCACCACCACCACCACCACCACCACCATCATCATCATCATCATCATCATCATCATCATCATCGTCATCAGCGTCTTCGTCATGGGGATAGTAGTGGTCGTGATGGCCATCATTGTCATCACCCGACAACCACCAGCACCATCATCGACATCATCAGGAGGAGCAGTTGCATCGTGATGTCTTGCAGACACCTTCATCTCAGTCTGATGGTGCCCTCGTGGCAGGGCATCGTGGACTGTTGTGGCGCTGGGGGTGGCTGAGGGCAGTTGGGTGAGTGTGGCGGCAGTGTGCTGGATGTGTCGTTGGTCGGTTGAGGTGTGGTGTTGCAGTGATGGTGATTGTGATGTGGTTGGGGTGCTGTAGGGGGGGGGGGGGAAGAGGCTGGAGGTGTGGTGGTACGGTAGTGACGGGAGTGTACAGAAGTGGGGCTCTGTGGAGGTGTGGCGGTCGAGATGAGGGAACTGGGGCTGTCTGGTGGGTTGTGGTTGGGATGCGGTAGGTGGTGCGGGTGGCGTGGGCTTATCCACGCACAGTTTCGGCCCAATTCTCGGAGGGTGTGGTTTGGTGGAGGGCGTGGGGGGGTGTTGCGCTGCGGAGTCTCGTGGTGGTATGGTGCGTAGTGCTGGACTGCATCCTGTATACTGTGCAATACCCACGGCTAGCTTCGGTTGGCCTTGCCCCTCAAGTTTCTTGGAAGAGCTGGTGACGAGAGAAGGACAGCACTGAGCCTTGTGGTTCCTTTCAGGCCGTGGTGGGCTCCAACATGAGTATTGGAGGAGTGTCCCTGCAAGGCACTCTGCTTGGAGGCACCTTTCAAGCTGCGACGCTTCAGGATCCTCCGGAGGACCAGGCGAAAGTGGAGATGCGATGGGCACCGCAGGCGCTGTGGGTCTTATAAAGGAATGGGGCCTTCGTTATGTTTTCACTGTTTGATTCGCTGATATTCGCTGCTATGGCCGGACGTCTTCAAACTCAGATCCTGCATGGGCACGTCGCTGCGGTGCTCCGAGGTGCCAGGAAATCCTGGAAGAAGTTCCTCGCAAAGCAGATGCAAAGCATGTGCGCCCACAAGCCGTGCTTGCAACCGCACATTTTGTTGAAGTATGCAGCCGACAGGGCGAAATCAGGAGAGAGCGGCAACCAAAAGAGGTTGCGGCTCACCCCGAAGGAGATGTCAGTCTACCTTGGATCGCGGATCCGCACACTCTGAAGCTGCAGGACCGAGCAGGCATGGTCAACACAGAGGAGGAGCAGTTCCACGAAGATCTTCTGGCGATGGCTGCTTGACCGTGGAGTGCCGTCAAGAGAGTCCGCATCCCTGCAATTCCGAGGTGAGCTCTTGCGCGCAGGGCGAGGACTGGGGTGTGGCATGCTAACCGCAAAAAAAAACGAAAGACGAAGCCGGCGAGACAAGAAAGCTCTAAAGCGACATGGCATGAACTCCGCGCTTCCTTCGACGCTAAACAGATCTAAACAGCAAGACGGCCAGGATGAAGACGGCACCGCCAAGCGAATGCCGGCGTTGGCAGCCCAAGCATGTCAGCGGGTTGGGACGAATATCCTTGGATTTTTGGTTCGTTATGTTCAGACGAGGCTATGGTTTCGGCGTAGGTCTTGGGTCTTTAGGGGTTTTGGAGTTGTTGACCTTGTCGATGTCCGTCCTGGAGCTTCAGGGGGATCTCAGTTTTTTGGGAACAGGCTTGGGGTTTGGGCTCATAAGTTGGAAGGAGTGAGGTCGGGCTGTGCCTCAGAAGTATGCCAGATTTGGGGCTGAGGCTTACAGTGTTGGGATATGAAAGATTCGGAGCACTTGGCCGCCAACCATACCCGAAAGGTACTATGCCTCCGTTGCTTGCTGTAGCAACTGTTGATTTACGGGGGAACAGCCTATCGGCTGACTGTCCCATCGGCTTCTCAGCCACCCCCGGTCTAGTTCGCTGGCCTTCGCGGACAAGCCGTAGCGGTTCAGCAGATTCGCCTTGCATCTCATGCTCTAAGACTCTTATATGTCTTTCTTGGTTTTGAAAGTGGCATGCTCGTCACATTTGTTCGGGTTCCCATAATGCTGCCGAACCCAATCTTAGTCCCCAGGCCGCGCGCCAACCACACCACCTGCATCTACGAGAACACGGTGCGCTCTTAGCTCGCCCACAAGTCCTTGTGACGATCCATGATTTTGAAGTTTGCACGCTGAGCTTTGCTTGAGTCTTGCTCAGCTCGTCCTCTTTGGCGGCCATGGCGGGATCGGGTACCAGCGCAAAGCGTTCAACGATGCACCCTGACTGCACGGCGACTTTTGCACTCACTCGTTCAGAGGGTGGCAACTTCGCCACGGCCCGCAAATGTGAGGTGTGGACGCTGAACCTGGACTCCTTCCGCCTTGCCAGCCTGTGATCTCCTGTGATGCGCTGCAAAATGTGCAACCTGCAGAGCAGATCAGAGCAGCCAGGTTGGGCAGAGCTGACGTGCCATGGCAACCCGCCAGCACCCCGATCGGGCCATGCATCCTTCCAGAAGGAGCCGTGATGGCACCCGTCCAGCCCTTGCCACAAAGAGCGTGAGAGTGTTGCTCTACTGTTGCATTTTTGCACCTCAACAATTTGACAGATGTAAGGGACTCTTGTGGGTGCTTCGTCAGGACGGCTTCGTCTTTGTCTTCGGCGGCTGGAATGGCGAAGCTCAGTTCAATGACCTCTTCATGTTGGATGTGGAGAACAAGGTCCTTCATCCTCGGCGCTTGATTTCACTGGATGCCTCACTGGATGCCTCAAGCATGCGCAGCACATTTTTTCGGATTCTGCCAGGATTGGTCAGACCTGGACCTCAGCTGGAGTGTGCCGCGGTGGAACATGGCATCGCAGCTTGTCGAGGCTCGCATGGGAGCATGGTGCAGTATGAGCGTTTTGGTTAGCATAAAGAGCCTTTCGGCACTCAACACTCAACAGTTGCCTGATGCAGTTGCGGTTGCATCTCATTGTGCAGAGCCGTCACAGTCGCTGTATCAGTAGCCACGCACTTCGACAGTTCAGACAGAGCCGACGGGCGCCCAGAAATCAGGTTTATAGGCACAAACAGCACTCGTCGTCCATGCGCTCAAAGCTACAGTTTCTACCAAGAAGGCTGCAAGCGTTTGCAGTCATCTGCGTTGCCCTTGCAACCAGCATGGGGCAAAGCTGCTGCGGCGGCCGCGAGAAAGCCGAGCCGTCTTTCGAAACGTGCTCGAAGTTTGCGGCGATGCCGCCAGCAGAAGGCGCATAGTCTGCAGAAGCAATGCGCTCACAAGTTTTTAGTTGGTTTCGAGAGCTGGGCCTGAAAAGAACTCTAAGCTGACGACTGAGATGTTCTTAAGCCTTGTCTCGAAAGGGATGTGTGTGTGTGTGTGTTGACGATGATTGCGACGTCTCCGGCTCAGGTCAAACCTGCCAGCAGAGGGAGTTTGACCCACAAAACGAAGAATTTGAACTCATCGCGGAGACAGACTTGCTGCCGACTGATTGCATCACCAATGGTGAGAGCCAGCTGCCGGCCAACCAGTCATGCGGGACGTTTACGCGGCGGTTTCAGGTGTGCACGTGCAAGGGCACGTGATGCTGTGCGTGTTTTTTCTATATATATATATATGTATGTATGTGTATATATATATATATATATATTGTGTGTGTGTGTGTGTGTGTGTGGGTGTGTGTGTGTGTGTGGGTGGGTGTGCGGGCGTGTGTGTACGCGCGTGTGTTTGGGCGCGCGTTTGTGTGTGCGTGTGTGTGTGTGTCTCTGTGTTGGTGTGTCTGTCTCTGTGTCTGTCTCTGTGTGTGTGTGTGTGTTTCCTAGTCCTAGCGTTCTTGTCCCGTCTTAATGCTTCCTTTGGCCATGCACTCGTGAACCTCGACATCAAGTACCTTGACGTACTAGATGGCCTACAGGCATACAGAGTCATACGCGGATGTATTCGTACCAATTAGTACACGCAGTGCACGCAATGGCAACCTTGAAGGACCCTCCCCCCCTCCAACCCGTGCGGTGTTGGGAGGATCTCGACACTGCGGACCAGCAAATAATCGCGACGAGATTCGACAGGCGTTCGGAAACGACCAACTCAGAGGATCCCGAGGAGCGCAAGGAGAAGCGGCAGCTCAAAGCCGCAGAGGTGCGAGGCTGGACCTGGGGTCTCTGCAGAAACAGTTGCTTTGTGCAATCAGTTCTTTGATCGAGGGTTCACGGTGACTCTGGTGACGACCGGAGCGTTTTGTTTGTACGGGCCCGTGGACCAAAAGTCACATTCGGGGGACGAAAGGGCCAAAGCACGCACTAGGAATACATGGCCGTGTTCTATAGCAATACAGTAGCCTTCTCCTGCGAAAGCACTTCCCAAAGACTCACAGTGACCCTTTGCAGCGGTTTCCCAATGTCCTCGTCTCTTGACAGCCCCCAAATCTTCCAGTTGCAGGCATCATGCAAGCAGCCATGGCGGCTGCTGAGAATGCCCGCAGCTCCGCATCTGCGGAGTGACTGGGAGCCCCTTCTGGCAGCTCTGTGAGTGTTTTTCGCTCGGGAATCTCCAGATGAGCATAGGGGTTTGTGGACCTACAGCTTGGCACCTCCTGAATCCTGACCCAGTATCACCCGTTCATTGGGCAGTCCTAGACCCGAAAGAAAGAATACTTCATTGCGTCTCTCTCTCGCGTGGACCATGGCAAAACTCCCAATTGTGACAAATTCTTGCACAATCCTCATGGTAGTAGCTTCAAAAGACTGCAGAGCGAGGAGAGTGCTTTCTCAAATTTTTCGAGGATGCAGCAACATTTGAAGAGCTGCAACAAAACAAAAACTGGTGCCGTCTGCGCCATCATCACCCCTGCGGGGTGGCGGGTGGCATGCTTGAGGATGCAGAAGCTTGTCTGAAGAAAAAGATCCCTAGATCGAAGGTGCGGGCAGAGCGGATGCACGTGAGCCTTTGCCCCTCTGGCGGACATGCAGCCTCTTAAGCTACTTTCGAGGTATGCACTTTGCCATTCCTCTGCAAGGCCATACCATCATGGCAAGTATTCGTGTTCGGTGGCTCAGCCGACCGGATGGGCCGTGCGCTTAGGCATCGGCGCGACAAGCGATTTCCATGCAGAGACTCGCAGAAATGCACCTTGTACCAATGAGGTGAGGGCCGCACCATGGGGTCGTTTGACAGGAAACTAGGCCAGTCAGCTCCTTGCTCCTGTTCAGCCCCTCGTACCGAGACACCGTGCACAGGCGTCCTTGACCTCGGTGACGAGAGGAAGTGGCTCACGCCCACACCCGAGGCTTACCGGCTTGCCCCTCAAAGTGCACCTTCTTGATGAGAGCAATATGGAGAGCAGGAGAAGTCGAAAGCCGACCGACCCCATGGGCCACTCCAGCGAATAGCACCTCATGCAGTATGAAGCAATCGTTTGTTGTTCGGAGCTCACGCTTCAGTCCCAGTGTGTCATGGCCTCAGGCGAGAACACACGGCCATGTGCTACGATGCGGAGGACCGACCTGACAGTGTGAGAAGCTACTGCATGACGAGTATGGTCAGTATATTGCGCATGGCTTCCGACATTGGAAGACGACGTGACGATGCAGCAGGAGAGCAGGCTGATCATGTACGGCGGCTGGGCCAACAAATGGCTGGACGATTGCTGGCAGATCAACGTGGCCTCCATTGTCGGGCCACCGTGGCACGGCAGCATTTCTGTCCGGAATTCTATTTGTCACGTCTTGCAATGTCCCGGCATGCTGTGACATGTTGTGGTTTGTACGTTGGTCTGTTGGAAGCTAGTCCATTTCGACTTGGGAGTGTGTGAAAACTCAAAGTGCTAGAATAAGAAGAGGCCTTGGCAGAGAGGCCGCCAGACCACGCATGACCATCTCACCATTCTGAGAAGCTTGGGCAAACAAGGTACGCTATCGTGCAAGTGGATCCACCACTGGGACCCGTGTCTGGCAATCAGAAAGTCGCATACCTAGCGGGCCGATGCATCTGTCCACAAATTCTTCTGTCTCAGCCTCTGTTGGTTCAGGTCAAAATCTCTGGCATTGGCTTCCTCTCTGTACCAGGAGCAGCCGTGGTACGGTTTAGTGCTGTCAGCGACCTACGACACCAGCACAGAACCAAACAGACTACAAAATATCCCATTTGAGCTGACCCAGGCCGGTGGACGTTTCAGCGTGGAAGCCCAAGGCAAAAGTTTCATGCTCCCTGAAGCGCGGCAGCCGACCAGATAGGACTGATGCAGCCGGAAAGGACTTGTGACAACCGGTCAGGAACCGTGGTGGATGACGAGTTGGTGGAGTGCCTGACGCCGAAAGTGGCGCGGCTTGCTCGTTCTTGCGAGCTGCGACGAGCTGTCTCGGTGACAATGTGGACATATGTGGACACTACAATCTACAAGTGCACTAAGTGCACTAAGTGCAGTGGCTCCAGCGGCCAGGAGGGCAACATTGGTCCGCGGGAATGTGAAGTTCGGGTCTCCATCGGTGTGAAAGACTTCACCACGACTGCAGGGGGACCTGGCTAACTGTTCGGCACCGCGCACATGCCCTTCATATTGGCCCCCTGAGGTGGCTGACTACCACTACTTTCTCAACACGGTTCCTGACATGCCGCACCCCTAGTGCTGGATCCTCTGCAGTGGAGATGCTGTGCGACGGAGGTCTTTGTGCTATGGTCCTGGACTGCTGATGGATCAACAGGCAGAGTTGACGACGAGGCAGGGGCATGGACGAAGAGGTCAGAGATGCGAGACACCTCCCACCACGTCAGGTTCATGATCCAAGCCAGGAATCAGCTGGGAGAGAACAGCTGCTTGTCTGGATTTGCCAGCTGGCTGTGCATCGTACCCTCGTCCCTGGTAGTAAAGCATGCGTTGAGTTGGCAGAGACTTGCCGGGCTGGTGCTTGGATCGGAACGTGGCTGGATATTGAGACAGATGTGTGCCATCAGGAAAGTCCGGAAGAGATGAATGGGCCAAGCCGACGGTTTGAGTGAACCTGTGCACACAGGACATTCCTGCACTGCCGCATCTCCTGCACATCTCAAGCCAGGCAATCCAAATCAACCATGTGTACATCAACGAGAAGGGGAAGGCCTTGCCGCATGACTTGTGACCATTCTGCAGCAAGATCATCCCTGCAGCAGCGATGGCAGGAATCGCTGCGCGAACTTCCGCACGAGGTGGTGGACTTCGACAATGGGCAGAAGCTTGCTCAGACATCCGGCTGTGCGAATTCCATGGCAGTTCCATGGGGAAGCTAACCGACCGAGGTACGAAGTCAGGTATGTGGCTGAGGTGCCATTTCGCCATGAGCTTTTAAGTGCTGTTTACAAGGGGCAGGCCCGAGCTTGGCAGGTTGGCAAGCTGATCATCAAGGTCAACATGATCGATGAGCCGGCTTGCTCAGAGAAGTTCGTGCTAGACCAGTGCTCGGCAAAACCAACAAGACATTTTGGAGAGATTAAAGTAGATTAGTCTTTACAACGACATATAGTACCGCAACAATTGTAACCAAGGACAGGGAAGCCTGCTGCAGTTCGAGGACTGCTGTAGACTGCTGGCTTCGGAAATATGCAGCGCATCTGGGGGACGTTTGCACTCGGAAGGGCGAGGGGCTTGCGGCAGGATCACCGTTTCAAGCGTCATGTATCCAATATGCCAAGACCCGTGCAAATGAGTACTTGGGCGCGGAGCTCAAACGGGATGAAAGGTGCTGTCCCCGCTATGCAGTGCCTTTGGAGTTCCTGATGCCGGCGCAGGTCCAAACGTGCACAGCTGGCTTGCTACGACCTTGCGGTCGCACTCGCCCCATGCTGTTCTTCATGGTGTATAATCCGCCTCTACCACTGTTCGGCGGCGTGTCACGTTATGTGCTGCGTGCCACAGCCTCAGCTTTAAGGTTGGAAGAGTTCCAAAGAAGCACGGAGGCCGGGTAAGCGACCTCACAGACTCGTAGCGATATCAGAGCGTTTTCGTGACTGCTGTGGCTGCTGTGGGTTTCTGGT